AACCGAGGTCAAGGGCACAGAGAGACAGCGTAAACTAGGACAAGCCGGGTCTGGTACATGGAAAACAGCAAGCCGGCAAACAGTACAGATAAGGATAAAGCGAAAACGAAGTCAGAATACGAAGCCAAAGTCAATACGAGAAAACACAACTGAACACCAAAAGCGCTAAAGGGAACTGAAACAGAAACCACGATAGGGCAACGAGCTAAGGGAAAAAGGTAAGTTTAAATAGCTTTTAAACGAAAGTGATTGGCTCATGTCACTTCCACACCCCCAAAAGGTAATTGTATAGGGAGTGTGGTATGACAGGAGCCAATGGGAGCCTTTTGGCAATTAGGCTCCCACTGTCTCTTTAAGAGCGCGCCCGAGACTCGCGGCGCGCTCTTAGTTTCAGGCGGGACACGTGACCGCCTCACGCGGTCACTGCCCGCCCTCCATCTAAAGCAGTCGGATGAGCCGCACGCGGCTCGTGCAGCCGCAGGACCGCGCGCGGCTTGAAGAGAGGACCGCGACCGGCCCCCGGTTAAGGTAAGTAACGCTACAGTGTCTCACAGTGAGGTTCCCCTCAGTCAGTCAGTCAGTCAGTGTCTCACAGTGAGGTTCCCCTCAGTCAGTCAGTCAGTCAGTGTATCACAGTGAGGTTCCCCTCAGTCAGTCAGTCAGTGTCACACAGTGAGGTTCCCCTCAGTCAGTCAGTCAGTGTCTCACAGTGAGGTTCTCTCTCAGTCAGTCAGTCAGTGTCTCACAGTGAGGTTCCCCTCAGTCAGCGTCAGTCAGTGTCTCACAGTGAGGTTCCCCTCAGTCAGTCAGTCAGTGTCACACAGTGAGGTACCCCTCAGTCAGTCAGTGTCACACAGTGAGGTTCCCCTCAGTCAGTCAGTCAGTGTCACACAGTGAGGTTCCCCCTCAGTCAGTCAGTGTCTCACAGTGAGGTACCCCTCAGTCAGTCAGTGTCACACAGTGAGGTTCCCCTCAGTCAGTCAGTCAGTGTCACACAGTGAGGTTCCCCCTCAGTCAGTCAGTCAGTGTCACACAGTGAGGTTCCCCTCAGTCAGTCAGTCAGTGTCGCACAGTGAGGTTCCCCCTCAGTCAGTCAGTCAGTGTCGCACAGCGAGGTTCCCCCTCAGTCAGTCAGTCAGTGTCGCACAGTGAGGTTCCCCTCAGTCAGTCAGTCAGTGTCACACAGTGAGGTTCCCCTCAGTCAGTCAGTCAGTGTCTCACAGTGAGGTTCCCCCTCAGTCAGTCAGTCAGTGTCTCACAGTGAGGTTCCCCTCAGTCAGTCAGTCAGTCAGTGTCACACAGTGAGGTTCCCCTCAGTCAGTCAGTCAGTGTCACACAGTGAGGTTCCCCCTCAGTCAGTCAGTCAGTGTCACACAGTGAGGTCCCCCTCAGTCAGTCAGTCAGTGTCTCACAGTGAGGTTCCCCTCAGTCAGTCAGTCAGTGTCTCACAGTGAGGTTCCCCCTCAGTCAGTCAGTCAGTGTCTCACAGTGAGGTTCCCCTCAGTCAGTCAGTCAGTGTCTCACAGTGAGGTTCCCCTCAGTCAGTCAGTCAGTGTCACACAGTGAGGTTCCCCCTCAGTCAGTCAGTCAGTGTCTCACAGTGAGGTTCCCCTCAGTCAGTCAGTCAGTGTCTCACAGTGAGGTTCCCCTCAGTCAGTCAGTCAGTGTCTCACAGTGAGGTTCCCCTCAGTCAGTCAGTCAGTGTCTCACAGTGAGGTTCCCCCTCAGTCAGTCAGTCAGTGTCTCACAGTGAGGTTCCCCCTCAGTCAGTCAGTCAGTGTCACACAGTGAGGTTACCCTCAGTCAGTCAGTCAGTGTCACACAGTGAGGTTCCTCAGTCAGTCAGTCAGTGTCACACAGTGAGGTTCCCCTCAGTCAGTCAGTCAGTGTGTGATATTTATTTTGTAATACTTCTTTAATTGGAACTCAACTGCAGAATTTCCTGGTTGCAGCAACAATAAGTTTCATCTCCTTTTACATTGATATGAAACAATGGTCACTGTACCTTTAAATACACATGAAGGAAAAATTAGGCTTTGTAGCAATCCCTTATGAATAAGAGGAATAATTAGACAAAGTGACACTTTAGTGAGTTTTAGATACTGTGTAACATAAATAATAGGAATTGGCTTGTTTGGTAAAAGTATTACCGTATATACTCGTGTATAAGTCGATCTCATGTATAAGTCGAGTGCAGTTTTGTGACCAACAATTATGAAATATGCTATGCCTCGTGGATAAGTCGAGGGTAAATCTTGGGGCTATGAAATTCTGTGATTTTTATAATTATATACTCACACACTCATACAAACACACACTCTGCATTATATATACACACACTCATACAAACACACACTCTGCATTATATACACACACAGACACACACTCATACAAACACACACTCTGCATTATATACACACACACACTCATACAAACACACACTCTGCATTATATACACACACTCTGTGTATATAATGCAGAGTGTGTATATAATGCAGAGTGTGTGTTTGTGTAGTGTGTGTGAACTGGGTGGGGGGAGGGCATTTTTATTATTTTAATTTTTTTTTATTTTAATATTATTATTATTTTATTTAATTTTTTTTTTTGTCCCCCCTCCCTGCTTGTTAACTGGTCAGGGAGGGGGGCTATCTTAATCCCTGGTGGTCCAGTGGCATGGGCTGTGAAGTGGGGGGGCCAGCAGGAAGAATTTACTTACCTTTCCTGCAGCTCCTGTCAGCTCCTGTCAGCTCCCTTCTCCTCCGTTCCGGTCAGCTCCACTGTAAGTCTCGCGGTCTGGTTGCCGCGCGGATCGTTGCCATGGCTCTGACGGCTGCGGCTCTCTAAGTTGCCATAATACAGACAGTGACTCGAGTATAAGTCGAGTGGGGGTTTTTAAGCACAAAAAATGTGCTGAAAAACTAGACTTATACTCGAGTATATACTGTACTTAACTTAAAGGCAGTTCTGGCACTGGAAGGGTTAATTCACCCAATGAAGGAGAAATTAGAAGTCCGTTTCAACAAGCTGAGAACTAGGAGTGGAGAGTGGGGAAGTCCGTTTTAACAAGCCGAGGTCTGGGAGTGGAGAAGGTAGAATTCAGAGTTACAAGCCGAGGTCTAGGAGTGGAGAAGGTAGAAATCCGTTTACAAGCCGAGGTCGAGAAGTGGAGAAAGTAGAAATCCGTTTACAAGCCGAGGTCGAGAAGTGGAGAAGGTAGAAATCCGTTTTACTAGCCGAGGTCTAGAAGTGGAGCAGGTAGGATCAAAAGTAGAGCAGCTGATCTTCTGCAGCACCTGTGCGAATAATCCAGCCCTTTGAATCTGGCGCGGTCTTCCTAAGTATCGTGGAGGGACCGCGTCAGAAAAAGGGGCGGGGCTGAGCGCCGTGAACCCGGAAGTGGGTTCCGGTGATGAATTACATGCCATGCTATACCTGACATAGTGTCTCTACAGTGAGGTTCCCCAGTCAGTCAGTCAGTGTCTCACAGTGAGGTTCCCCTCGTCAGTCAGTGTCTCACAGTGAGGTTCCTCAGTCAGTCAGTCAGTGTCTCACAGTGAGGTTCCCAGTCAGTCAGTCAGTGTCTCAGTGAGGTTCCCTCAGTCAGCCAGTGTCACAGTGAGGTTCCCTCAGTCAGTCAGTGTCTCTACAGTGAGGTTCCCTCAGTCAGTCAGTCAGTGTTCACAGTGAGGTTCCCTAGTCAGTCAAAGGCCAGGTCTCACAGTGAGGTTCCCTCAGCCGTCAGTCAGTGTCTCACAGTGAGGTCTCTCAGTCAGTCAGTCAGTCAGTGTCACACAGTGAGGTTCCCCTCAGTCAGTCAGCCAGTCAGTGTCTCACAGTGAGGTTCCCCTCAGTCAGTCAGTGTCACACAGTGAGGTTCCCCTCAGTCAGTCAGTGTCACACAGCGAGGTTCCCCCTCAGTCAGTCAGTCAGTGTCTCACAGTGAGGTTCCCCTCAGTCAGTCAGTCAGTGTCACACAGTGAGGTTCCCCTCAGTCAGTCAGTCAGTGTCTCACAGTGAGGTTCCCCTCAGTCAGTCAGTCAGTGTCTCGCAGTGAGGTTCCCCCTCAGTCAGTCAGTCAGTGTCTCACAGTGAGGTTCCCCTCAGTCAGTCAGTCAGTGTCTCACAGTGAGGTTCCCGTCAGTGTCTCACAGTGAGGTTCCCCTCAGTCAGTCAGTGTCACACACTGAGGTTCCCCCTCAGTCAGTCAGTCAGTGTCTCACAGGGAGGTTCCCCCTCAGTCAGTCAGTCAGTGTCGCACAGTGAGGTTCCCCTCAGTCAGTCAGTCAGTGTCTCACAGTGAGGTTCCCCTCAGTCAGTCAGTCAGTGTCTCACAGTGAGGTTCCCCTCAGTCAGTCAGTCAGTGTCTCACAGTGAGGTTCCTCTCAGTCAGTCAGTCAGTGTCTCACAGTGAGGTTCCCCCTCAGTCAGTCAGTCAGTGTCTTACAGTGAGGTTCCCCTCAGTCAGTCAGTCAGTCAGTGTCACAGTGAGGTTTCCCTCAGTCAGTCAGTCAGTCAGTGTCACACAGCGAGGTTCCCCCTCAGTCAGTCAGTCAGTGTCTCACAGTGAGGTTCCCCCTCAGTCAGTCAGTCAGTGTCACACAGTGAGGTTCCCCTCAGTCAGTCAGTCAGTGTCTCACAGTGAGGTTCCCCTCAGTCAGTCAGTCAGTGTCTCGCAGTGAGGTTCCCCCTCAGTCAGTCAGTCAGTGTCTCACAGTGAGGTTCCCCTCAGTCAGTCAGTCAGTGTCTCACAGTGAGGTTCCCCTCAGTCAGTCAGTCAGTGTCACACAGTGAGGTTCCCCTCAGTCAGTCAGTCAGTCAGTGTCACACAGTGAGGTTCCCCTCAGTCAGTCAGTCAGTCAGTGTCACACAGTGAGGTTCCCCTCAGTCAGTCAGTCAGTCAGTCAGTCTGGGTCTCGCTGTAGCCCCGCCCCTTCTCTCAGTCAGCCAATCAGCGGTGGCGGGCTGGGGGTGTGTTCGTTTCGTCATATCCGGCCGGGATCAGGACAAACAAGGACAGGGAGCCCGAGCAGCAGGTAACCGGCACCTGGGGGCCAACACTGGGGGCCACAGCCCGGGGAGGGCCAATACCTGGGGTCCCTGGACTGTCACATTAACCCCTCCACTGCCAGAGCTCAGACTGTCACATTAACCCCTCCACTGCCAGAGCTCAGACTGTCACATTAACCCCTCCACTGCCAGAGCCCAGACTGTCACATTAACCCCTCCACTGCCAGAGCCCAGACTGTCACATTAACCCCTCCACTGCCAGAGCCCAGACTGTCACATTAACCCCTCCACTGCCAGAGCCCAGGCTGACACATTAACCCCTCCACTGCCAGAGCTCAGGCTGTCACATTAACCCCTCCACTGCCAGAGCCCAGACTGTCACATTAACCCCTCCACTGCCAGAGCCCAGACTGTCACATTAACCCCTCCACTGCCAGAGATCAGACTGTCACATTAACCCCTCCACTGCCAGAGCTCAGACTGTCACATTAACCCCTCCACTGCCAGAGCCCAGACTGTCACATTAACCCCTCCACTGCCGGAGCCCAGACTGTCACATTAACCCCTCCACTGCCGGAGCTCAGACTGTCACATTAACCCCTCCACTGCCGGAGCTCAGACTGTCACATTAACCCCTCCACTGCCGGAGCTCAGACTGTCACATTAACCCCTCCACTGCCGGAGCTCAGACTGTCACATTAACCCCTCCACTGCCAGAGCCCAGACTGTGACATTAACCCCTCCACTGCCGGAGCTCAGACTGTCACATTAACCCCTCCAATGCCGGAGCCCAGACTGTCACATTAATCCCTCCACTGCCGGGGCTCAGACTGACACATTAACCCCTCCACTGCCAGAGCCCAGACTGTGACATTAATCCCTCCACTGCCAGAGCTCAGACTGTCACATTAACCCCTCCACTGCCAGAGCCCAGACTGTGACATTAACCCCTCCACTGCCAGAGCTCAGACTGACACATTAATCCCTACACTGCCACAGCTCAGGGCTAGACTGTCACATTAACCCCTCCACTGCCAGAGCCCAGACTGTCACATTAACCCCTCCACTGCCAGAGCTCAGACTGACACATTAATCCCTACACTGCCACAGCTCAGGGCTAGACTGTCACATTAACCTTGCCTGGGGGTTTTGAGCTGATCCATGCAATACTATTGTACTGTATAATGTCAGTAAATCATTACATTATTGCAAGAAAGTATTAATATTTTATGGATAATGATGTTTTAAAAAAAAAAAATAAATTTTGTGCAACAAATTTCACAATATTGTCTGTGTGGGGAGGTTGCATATTGCCTTCCAAAGCTAACTGCAGTTTTGATTGATATGTTTTTGCTGGATATTGGCACTAGGTCCTTGACTAATTAAGTTGGTCTTTGTTTGTGTAACTACACATTGATCACTAGTTGATCTGCCTTGTAATGGTCACCCCTCTGACACCATGAGACTTCTCCTGTATAACAGATTTTCTGTTTGGTTTTATATCTAATAATGCGCTTTGATTAGTGGGTCCTTGAATTGATTTTATAATTAAAGCACAGCTTATTAAGCCAGTGTCATGTACGTTGTTTGGTCCAGGTCAAGAGACATAACAGACTCACTCTAGAGTTTAAAGGAGCATTCTGTACATCATAACCATTCTGTGCTAATGTGATAGTTATCTTGCGATTCCGTGTTACACGTCATCACCCTGTTATTAAACAAGCCATTATTGCGTGACTTCATCAAAACATGGGGTCCCCAAGACACCTGCACCTGAATCTTTGGATCCACAGTTCGTCCTCTGCATTAGTGATATTTCGTCATATTTTAACTCCATTCATGGAACAACTTACACGGTTTTGGTCAAAGTGCTCGAAAACTGTTTGACCCAGAAGTGGGTGATGGCGCCAACATTCAAATGGCTCTGCAGTGATCAGACAACAGAGTGGTTAATTTTAGTGCAACGTAGGCGAATTGGAAAAATAACCAAATGGTTGGGAATTCCAAACTGGATACTTAATTTCCTTGTGTGTACATGCTGATTGAAAGGAAATGTCAGCTTTTAATGGAACCTCATGTTTTCAATGCTTTCTGGAAATAATGCATAGAAATTGAAAAGTTGTTCTGAACTGAATTCCCCTAATTTCTGGAAATCTTTAGGTTTTCCGGGACCTTAGAAATGGAGGAGATATTGTAGCCAATTGGATCTGCAATTCAGTATAACCAAAAGGCAATATGTGGGCCCCAAGGAGGACAGACTGAATGACAACCTCCTTTGCCCAGCTGACTCAATGTCCTTGTGTTATTGTGAGCTGTGTGTGTGAATCCAATGATGCGCTTTCTGCAGACATATCCCTAGTGTCCCCAGCTACAACTGTGACTGCAGGATTGTCCAGCCTAACCCAGGCCTTTTGGGAGGCGATACAATTTCATTCACTACTTTTGTTTACAAAATACATGAATGAATTCAGTGCAGAAGCCACCAGTACCTAATTTAATAGTTTGCTGTACAGTTACTTTTTTGTCCCCTCTCCCCTCCATGATGCAATTGAGGCACATGGCTGCAGTACAAGCTCCCTCATAGCAATTGATGAGTAAGTGGGGACAGATTAGTTAGGGGCAGGAGGAAGCTCAGTAGGCAGTAATATGCCATCAGGAAGTGAGTCCTGATTTTTAGACCCAAATCTTGGTCATCACTCCCTCCGTGTCACTACGACAAGCATGGAGTTAGTAGAAATGCACTGAACATGACAATTTGATATTAATATGGTGCTTCATTTAAAATAGCTTTCTAGTTTGGGCTAATGCCTCTCAAATGCTTTGTGGTTGGTAGTTTCATTTAAAAAAAAAAAAGGTTTTGTAGAGGGAGAAAGCTTTTTGCCAATTATTGGCAGAGTATGTGGCACCAGAAGGCTTACATTGGGCATAAAGGATAAATTTTAGTGAATACAAAGCTGAACTGCAAAATTCAGGATTAACAAGTGAAGCTGTCAATACTATAGCAGTGTTAACACTTTTCCAGATCGTCAGTTTTTGTCCAAATTTTGCCATTCAGATTAGAATTCACTTTCATTTTCACTGTCACAAGGGAACACCTTGCCAAACCCTTTAAACAGGTCGGGTTTATTTATACTTCATGAAATTGAATAGATCTCTGAAATAAGTTGCAAGGTGAGTGATTGGTTGTAAAAAAGGCATCGTTGAATTATTGGGATAGTAACGAATACCCAGTGATGTATCGTACTGATTACCAATGAGACGTGGGTTTGTCTTGCTTTGCATAGAGCTTAGTGTATTTAATTTTAGTCTGGGTAATAAAATTCACTAATGTACACTACATTTAGGCTTCTAAACGCGATATTGTTACAAGGTGGCTGTGTGGACCCTCCCTTGGCTAGCTCATTATGTTTTATTAAACGTCTACCTCTAAGCTCACAGATAATATTGTCCTGTTTCATAGTGTTTAGAAGTACTTGGTTTCTTTATGCATTGATGAAGGTAAACAGGGTGTAGTTTAGTATTATCCAGCCCAGAGTGACCAGGCAAACGTGTTTCCTTGTGACAACAGATTAAGGTTAAAGAGTCAGATTAGATTCTTTCTTTTAAAGGTCTCTTGCACAATGAGTTAGGGCCCTAGGCAAAGACTAGTTTACAATGAATGTCAGCTCTTGTGATCCTACATAACAGCTTGCCCAGCTTCATCTTTTAACGCTCTCCATTATAACCAGACGTGTAATGCAGGCTCATTTTGTCTCAATCAGTAAGTAGAAGAGGCAGCTAGGTTATATCTGTGTTCAAAGTGTAAGGGGTGGTTTTTAAACATATGTTTTATTTTGATGAGGGTAGCCTTCTATGGGCAACCGTGTCACTTTTGCTTTTACATAGGCAACTATTATGAATATTGAAAAATAGGACAATTTGTGTCTGTCTTTCTGAATTTTGATGTAATGAACAACCACCTGTAAAAGGTTAAATTAACCTACATTCCCAGAGCTTTTTTTTTTTTTTTGTCTGCGCTGTATAGCAGGAAAGGTGACAGGTGAAGGGCATCACTTTGATTTGGTCATTGTTTTACAGGTATGAATACAGGCCCACTCTGGACACCTATCACTTGCATATATTGATAGTCAGGACATGCAGAATGTTAGGAAACAGTCATTAATCAAATAATTATCTGGCATGTTTACTGTATAATATAGGGGAGTCTGTGTAACTCTGCAATACTCCACACCTGGGCCACGGCTGTTATCTACATGAAAATCTACTTCTAAAATCCAAATGAGTCCCATGCTTACAAGTTATTTAGGAGACACTCCCCGAGAATAGAAAAACATTAAAGGAACAATAATTTTTTGTTTATTATTAAAAGAAAATATTATATGTATTGTATTGTTTGTTTAAAGCATGCCTATAAGTTCAGCAGACCCTCACAGCCGAGAAGCTGTTCTGTACAGTAGGCTTAGCTTAGGAAATCTAATGGAAGCTCTTAGCAGGAGCTCTGTGTCCAGGCAGTAACTGGTGCTCAGCAGACCACGGATAAGAAGAAAAAGTTTTAGCAAATGGTTTAACTACTTATATTTGTTCTAAAAAAAAAAAACACAAACACACACAAGCTATACTACATGCAATCTTCTGTTTTCAATAATAAAAACATGACAACCGTTTTCCGTTAAGATCTTTGCTGATGATGCCTCTCAAGACTTTCTCCAAAGGGTTTACGTTACTTATTCCACCACAGAGGAAGCAATTCCCTGTATACATCGGCATCATAACAAGTCGGCGTTTTATTCCTACAGGATGTGGGCAAGCGATTTGTGGTTGTAAACATAAAAATACTGTTTGCAGTATTAATAGAATATTAATAACAATCCACTCACTGCCGCTGCTGAACCTCTTTATTACGTCTAGTCAGTAAAGTGTTACCTCACCCCATTTTAAGAGTTAAGGAGACTTGCTAGCAATATGTGTAAACCATCCAGGAAATTGTCTCCTGCGCGGATAATTTATAGGCCTGAGTAGTACTTTCCATTGGTGGCGACGTCGCCCACGTGTCACATTGGATGGTGTGGACACCGTTGCCAAAACACAGACACCCAAGCACCCACGTGGAGGCTTAGCAGGCAGCTGACTGTCCTAGAAAACATTCTGTACGGAAACAGAGGCAGGGAACCACGCAAAGTGCAGATAGACTGATTGCAAGGGCACAGTGTGTCGGATATCATGCCAACAGTGCATTCACTGTGCAGTGCTTCCATGAGATATAACAAGGCTTTTTAGGCTTGTTCATGCACTGGATAGGACGTGACTCATTTAAATAGTTAATTGTTTTTGTACAGATGGTGTTTCTCAGGAAATATATTTATTTATGGTCTCTGTAATTGGTTAATATTTATTAAAGGGACACTATAAGCACCAGAACAACTACAGCTTACAGCACTAGAGATGCTTCCTGGGGCAGTGCTGCACAGTGTGACTAACATTCAGTGTCTCCACCCTCTGCATGGAGTCACTGAACTTTCCTCATAGAGATGCATTGATTCAATGTATCTCTATGGGGAGATGCTGATTGGCCAAGGCAGCATTTGGCTTCATCCTTGCCCCACCTCCTTGGCTGAGATCATCAGAATTGACGAGCTCAGCCAATCCAATGCTTTCCTATGCGATTGGGGTGGAGCCAGCGCAAGCAGACCTGCGTGGCGGTGGAAATAAGGTGACTTTTTACTGCATTTAAGGGTGGCCAGGGGAGCTAATTAGTACGTTTAAAGGGACACTGTAGACAATCAGACTACTTCAGCTCATTGAAGTAGTCTGGGTGTTATGACCCTTTTGCACATAGTGCTGCATTGTTTTACCTGTCAAACAGCCAGCCACTAGAGGGCTTTCAGAATCCAAACTGACTTTTGGTCCGTTATCTGACGCTTGACGTCCTCACGGACCTCCAGCATCAGATTTTCCTCATAGGAAAGCATTGAATGATGCTTTCCTATGAGGAGGTCTAATGCGCGCACGGCCATTTTCGCGTTGGGTCTCCGCCGCGGACTGACATCGGTGGGGTAGGGGCATGGGCGGAGCCTGACCCAGCACCAAGGGGCATCAGCGCTGGATTCAGGTAAGTGTCTGAAGGGGTTTTAACCCCTTCAGCCCCGCAGGAGGGGGGGACAGAACATATTAACCCTATAGTGCCAGGAAAACAGCTTTGTTTTCCTGGCACTATAGGATCCCTTTAACACTATAGGTTTAGGAATGCATGTTTGTGTTCCTGACCCTATAGTGTTTTTTTAAGTTTGTACTGAAGATGGTCTAAAAAGTATATTTTTCTCTGCTGAAGGAAAGATGGATAAATCCATCGCATTGCTGAAAATGATGGTCAGGGTGTATAATTTAGCAACAGACGTTCTCCCACCAGATTGGGGGGGAAAACTAACTATTTTAAACCCAATTTTCAAGAAGCAATACCTTTTTTATTTTTTTCATCTGCCATTAGGTCTCCCCCCGCCGGCTGACGTCAGCAGGGGAGGAGCGTGGACGGAGCCTGACCCAGTGCCAAGGGACATCGGTGCTGGATTCAGGTAAGTTACTGAAGCGTTTTAACTCCTTCAGCACCGCGGGTTGGGGGGGGGGAGTACTAATAGTTTGAGTTTAGTGAACAATCGTATGTGAAATGAGAAGCATCTTGTGCGTCATCCATCAATATTACATCAATTCATTGCAGTTTTGACCCAGTAAAAGAAAATCTGTCTGTTTTTGTTTACCTTTTTATCGCGACTAGATTAATGTGGCTCAAAGTGTTTCACAATAAAGGAAACCTAAAATGGGAAGAGAAACCAGACTTAAGTTAAATGGACACACATTGAAGCGACCTGGGTGCCTTGAAACAACATTGGATGTCCTTGCTCATTTCGTGAGGATGACTCCCATCTTAAAATCCCACAAAACTAAGCATTGATTAAATGCTTTCAATAGGGAAGCCTTAATGCATGCATGCGCATTAGATCCCACCATTGTCATGACATCACGGAAGGAGGAGACCTAACCAGCGCAGAGGGAGTCGTGGTGCTGTAAAGAGGTATGTTAAAAATGGGTTTTATACCCTTTCATGATCGGAGGTGGGGAACTAGGACCATTTTAGTGTTAGGAATACAGGTTTGTGTTCCTAATGCTATAGAAGTTATTTAAAGGGATCCTAAAGTGCCGGGAAAACAAAGCCGTTTTCCTGGCACTATAGGGTTAGCAGGTGCCCAAACCCCTTTAGCCACTTACCTGAATCCAGTGCCGATGTCCCTCGGTGCTGGGTCAGGCTCTGCCCATGCTCCTCCCCCAACGATGTCAGCTGGCGGGGGAGACCTAATGCGCATGTGTGAAAATAGCCACGCGCAATTTAGACATCCCCATAGAAAAGCAAAAGTCTGTTTGGATTCCGGAAGCCCTCTAATGGCTGTCTGCTAGACAGCCACAGAGGGCAGACTTAGAGCTGCAATGTAAACAGTGCAAAAAACAGTGGTGCCTACAGTGTCCCTTTAATATCAAACAAATAGAGGGAATGATAGGAAGCATGCAGTAACGGTAAATTTATTGTTACTTATAGTTACTTAGCTGAATAAAGACTTGCGTCCATCAAGTTCAGCCTTTCTCACATATTTTTTTACTGTCGATCCAAAAGAAGGCAAAACAAACCTAGTCTGAAGTGCATCCAATTTTGCAACAAACTAGTAAGAAATTCCTTCTTGACGCCAAAATGGCAGTCAGATATTTCGTTTGTTCAAGAAGCTATTATCCTACTAATTAAAAATGATATCCCTGAATATTGTTTTTTACAAATATTAAAAGCCTTTTAAACGCAAGTTGTTTGATTGTGATTATTACAGCACCTCTATCGCGGCCAAAAAATTGCCTTAAGCCCCACCCATTCTGAGAGAGGAAGAGATGAAGAGGAACGATTTGAGAAATTCAAGTTAATGTTGCATCATGTTATTGATTAAATCAATCAGTTTGTAAGTTGCACAGTTAGGAAGGTATTTAGGCAGGCTTGGTGTGTTAGGAGTGAGCATTGGAAAGACGAGGCGTGTCTCTTCAAGCTCTGAATAAGAATGAGCAAGCTGGCCTGGTATTCAATACCACTGTAAAGGGATCATTTACTGATACTGGGTAATATTTAATTATAAAGTAACAGCACGATATTGCCCCATTCGGCATCAGTAACGGTTACTCCTTCCTAGTGGCCTAGGTGTGTGTGCATTTTGTAAAGAGCATACAGTACCAAAAGAATAGAGCAAAGTAACATTTTAAACTTTTAATATATACATCATTTATAACAAAATTCTGAAATTAGACCAGTATTTTATATTTTCGCTCAAATTTCAGGGGTTTGTTGGGGGTTTTTCCCCATCAATTTTCACCTATATGCAAACACAGTTGGAGAGACTTATCAAAATGTCACTAATCCATTCTGATGGTCTTTCCACTATTTATTCTTTTCTGCACTTTTTTTCTTTTGAGTTACATTTTGTGTTATGCATTTCAATTATTAAGCTTTATACATCTTTTTTCCTCATTAAAGTATTCTCTTTCACAAATTCTACTGTGGCAGAAAAAGACAGATTACACTTATCAGAATACTTTGTAATTGAACTCCCTTTAAACACACACACTATCCTACCCCTTTCCCAATTCTTTTTATCATTACTTTGATCACAGAAACCCCTTTATTTTGGGACATAATGTGACCAATAGTGAGCCTATGGCATAAGATTGATTTGTCGAAAATGTCTCCTAGAAATTGGCGAGGACCTCCTTAAGTTAGTCTGTTAGAATGTATGTATATCATTTCTTTTCAATATAATTTGTTGTACCTGCCCTCCCTACCTGCTCTTCATTTAATTAAACTTGGCACACCCTATGGAGGTACATGTCTGCTTAACAAGTTCAAGCACAGACCGTGATGATGATGATTGCCCTTAAGGGTGCAATTACTCAAGTGATAACGCTTTGAGTCATGAAAGATATGTGAGAATAAGGTGAGAGGTTGCATAACATGTGCCTGACATGTCTTTAGATGTTTTATTTCATCAGTGTTTGTAGTTTTTATGTCAAAATAGAACGAGTAAATGTTAAATAACAAAGGCTAGGAATAACAGAGACTGCAATATCGTGCATCGAATTAGGACTGAGAAAACAGTGTTAATACATTCTTTAACCGATCAGTCTTCATTCTTGTGGGCAGTACATGAAAAGTGCTGTTACACAATGAGCAGGATCCCTGCACTGCTAGAAGTTAGTAAATCAAGGCGGAATCCCAAAGGCACATCAATTTATTTCTAGTCTGCGTGATATAAATTCTGGTTATTCAGTAGGAACACCTGAATCGTGGATCTGGAAACTTTAAGGAAATCCCCAAATTCTATATTGTTTCCAAAATGAACTCAAGTCCAGAAAGGAACCATAATGCCATGGGCAGAGACCTTTGACAGATGTCCCTCAGGTCATCCAGACAATCTGACCATGCGCGGTGCATATGGGAGTCTTTCAGCTCCCATTGCGTTTTTGTTCCCAGTATTGACAGTGAGTAATAATATGATGCTTATTATCTCGTGGCAGCTGTCCTAACAAACTAACAACTGATTACACAGAAATGAGCTAAATTCTCTATTCATTTTTCTATATAGATTGTTTAACTGAATAAATTAACAATGGCCTCCTACTTTCTACTTGGTTGTTAAAACCACACAGTATGTTAAATGCTACATTGAAGGCACAAGGCTATCCCCTTTCCTTTATTTGTTTATTTTTTCATCCGTATCCTAGATGTTTTATTCAATATGTCAGAGAAATGGTGGCATGAGACACTACATGTTTTAATAACCTACGGTTTTTGGGAGCGTTTCACTTTTGAACTGATCTTGGGTTTTTTTTACCATGAAAGTTGGTCAGGTTTATCTGCATTTTTAAGGAGATTAACACTACTGGAAATGTAACATATTGCTAAACAGCTCGATTTGTATTATTCCTTACTCCTGATTATGAATTGAATTATTATTGAAACTATTTATAAAACAAGCAGAGGGGTGTATAAAATCTCTTTAGTTTTGCCAACAGAATTGAATGAGTGCTGCCATTTTAAATAATTTATAGTCAACAGCCTTACGAATGTAATGCCTGCGGGGAGTGAAGTTCTTCCAATGTTAAATACGTGTGATTAACTATGTTGTTATCGAAATGGATCAGATTGTGAATACAGCATATTATGAGACAAAGGTGTTGAAGTAAAAATTTTCTCCAATAGAAAATAATTTTAAGGGGTATTATAAAGATCTTAACCAGTACAGCTTATTGTAATGATGAGCAGTTTTTTCTCATTTGTGCTAAACTGTTTATCTGTGATTTGGGGAACAAAGTTGGCTGGGCTGCTATGGACCTAATTTTCTGCTTTAGCCTGTCCAACTTTGGGCGCCATATTAGACTCCGAGGACTTGGGGAGCCTGCCATTGCTGCTCAAAGTAAAATTTTCATACCAACAGCAGAGATTAAGAGAGATAAATTTTTTTGTAAAGGCACTTGAAACGTTTTGAAACAAGCTGTGGGGACAGATTCTGATGATTGTACAATGGTCTGCAGTGGTTATGGGTTGTAAAGTGTGTATTTGACATTTTAATATGTACACTTAGTGGCCGCTTTGTTAGGTACACCTTTAGAATATTGGGCAGGATCCTTCTTGACCCTAGAAAAACCTAAATTCTTTGTGCTATGGGTTCAACAAATGGTTGGAAACATTTTGCTGAGGTCCTGGATGTTGTTGACTTGACACCATCACACAGCTGCTGCAGGTTTGTCATCTTTAAATTCATGGTGTGATCTCCCATTCACCACATCCCAAAGGCAGCGTGTTGGATTGAGATCTGGTGGCTGCTGAGACTGTTCACGTGGACTGGACTATTGTCTGTGTTTGTAGAACCGGCTTGACATACTTTGTGGCATGTTGCTTTATCCTGCTAAAAGTAGCCATTAGAAGATGGGTAGAATGTGGAATTTCAATGATTCTCAGTTGGAATGAAAAAGTCTAGTGTTTTCCCCCCAAAATATTCCCGACTGTTACACCAACAAAAGCCTGTACTGTTAAAACAACACAGGGTGAATTTATGCTGTTCCGACCCTACTGTCTGAATGTCACAGCAGAAACTGAGAATTGCCACATCACTTGACGTTTTTCCAACCTCACTGTTTAGCTTTGGAGCTGCTGTGAATACCGTAGCCTCCGTTTCCTGTCTTTAGATGACGTTAGAACCTGCTGTGGTCTTTTGATGTTCTAGCCCTTCTTCCACTTCAAGGTTGAACATTTTGAGTGTTTGGAGATCCTTTACGTAGCACTGCTAATGTGTGGTTATTTCATTTTCTGTCTGCTTGAACCAGGCTGGCCCTCTCCCATTAACAGGCATTCTCTCCAACAGAGCTGACACTCACTGGATACTTTTAGTTTTTCTCAGAATTCTCTTTGAACTCTAGAGTGGTGTGAGTGAAAATCCCTGGAGATCATTTTTTTTCTGAGATACTCAGACCACCACGTTTGGCATTGGCAATCCACGGTAAAGTTAATTAGAGCACGTTTCTCCTTCTGATCTTTGGTTTAAATATTAAATGAACCTCCTGAATGTGTCTGCATGTTATATGCATTGTGCTGCTGCCTTATAGATGGCTGGTAGATGTTTGTGTCAACGAGTAGGTATAACTAATAAAGAAGCCAGTGAAGACACATTTACTGTGACAGAAATTATTTTTATATTTCAGAGGACAAATTTAAATTTACAGAGAATCTGGAAACATGGCCTGGACATTGTGTGTTTTGTACAATCTACTGCCTTGTACGTGTAATTCGAAGAATAACGTTGATGTGGCTTTTAGGGGCATTAACGGAGGTTCTGTCTTACAATGCATTATCGAGGTCTGCCAGTAAAGGCCATGGCTGCTGGTATTGTAGCTCAATATCGTTTCCTTCTTTTTTTGGAAAAGGTTTCACATTCCTTCTGTGTCAAAGTATTTCTTACCCGTTGTATCGTAAGGCAAGCTTTCTTCAATACTGTACAGGGAGTGTTAATGTGTCTTCCACATTCTTAACTCCAGAGGTAGGTGATACTTACAAAATCATTTAGGACAGGATAGGAGGATTGTGCTGGTCACACCGCTCTCGTTTAAATAACTTTTTATATTTATTTTAAACTTGTATCCATCTGCTGTCGACATAATATATCAATTGCATGTATGACGTCTGCTTGTTCTTTACAAATCCATGTGTTTCCATAATGGCGAGTTTGTCAGTGACAGCTGACTTGCGATCACTTAGAGACATTTTAGACAGATCTGCCTCTCCTGAACCTCCATAATCCTCATACTGATAAAACTACACAGCTCCATAACTTCACAAGGTCTCTCACCCCAGTTGGATCAGGGGCCCCAAATCAGTGCTGTCAGACTGGATTTGGGAATTTGGGCTCTAGAACGGTTTGTCATATTTAGGTATTTTCTTGTGGTCCTGAGGAGGCTCAGAACAAGCAAAGAAATGATTTGATTGTTGGTTTTCACCGCGCTATTCAACTATGGTGGTTCTGGTGCTTAGTGGTCTTCTTTAAACGAGCATGATATTACCAACTTGCCATTATTTAGTAAACAAAATCCCACTTTATTGTTATTTAGTTGTGATGCCATATTTATGCCACTGTATATAATGATCGGGAAGAGATTTTCTGTAACACCTGCTAAGTAAAAAGCTGCTGTAGCACACAGAATAATATGTATAGTGAGAATTGGGGTAGATGGCTTCAGATATCCCTAATTTGTTTCAAAATTACGGCATGTAACACAGACATATTGTTAAATGATATACATTATGCATGAGCCCTTCTGTCTCAGAGACTTTGTTGGATAAGAAGAAACTCTAGTCTTGTGTTTACAATATAAACCACTGTTTGGAAAAGCCATTATTTTTCTCTGAGTGGGGCTGTAGTAGACCTCTAAGTTGTTATGGTGCCATCCTGCTGTTAAAGTAGTGCTGTTTTTTTTTTTCCTGTTTTTTTTCTTTCACTTAACTCTACCCCCCTCCCCTCCAATCATCGCAATGCTCCAGGACTAATTATTCAGTTTTCAGAATCATTAATTTAATCTGTTCCAGTCCAGAGGCCCTAGTAACTGTCTGTCCGCCACGGGTAACCATGGAAATTGCGAAATGGAAACCATGCCATTTCTCAGAAATGTCTTGAAGAGTAGGGCTGCAGGGGCAGCATCAGTGCCCCCAAATCACTTAATTGAAAGGAACACTATAGAGTTAGGATTACAAAACTGTATTCCTAATGCTGTAGTATGCCCCTGTCCCTAACTTTATGTCCTCCCCCCACACACAATTATTTTAATTCCAGAGCTGAGGTCCCTTGGATTTGGATCGGTCTCCTCCTCAAGCAACGTCATGGCGATGAAGGACCTAATGCGCATTTGCAGAGCTTTAAGGGGACAGGGGCACTTCAATGAGATGAAATGGTGTGGGTTCTTATAGTCTCCCTTTAAGAGGAAGTGATTCAGTGCTTTGTGTGTCATTTTAAAGAACCACTAAAGGTACCCAGACCTCTTCATGTCAATGTTCTGGGTGCGGTTGTCATTTAATTTTAACCCTGCAATATAAAGTATTGTCCTTTAGTAAATACAACATTGCTTACATTGCTGGAGTAAATACACCTCTAGTGCCCTGCTTTCTTCCTGACAGCCACTAGAGGCGTTTAGCTGTGAGAACAGAGTTAAACTAGGTTCTCACAGCTAACCTCCAATAGGAGATTAGATCAGCACTGCTGCGCATGTGCTTTTATTCTCCAATGCTAAAGGTATACTATAGGCACCAAAACCAAGTTAGCTTAGTGAAGCCGTTTTGGTGTATAGATTGTACCCTGTTGTCTCTCTGCTCAAATTTCCATCACAGCTATAGTCACTGATGGTCTGTGTTAGCTCAGATTTCTCCATTCATATTTTAATTTGCTACAAAAGCGAGATCTAATGAATAAAACCCTCTTCCCCCCCCCGAATTAAATTCAGATTTAGATAATAACCGTGTCTGTGTGTCATTAGTCATCTATAGCCACTCAGCGTGTTCCCTCTATTATTGGCTTACTCCAGGTTCACACTGTTGGTAGCTGAGGACAGACCCGGATCGCTAAGTCTGGGTGAGAAGATAAGGGAGTCATCGTCATGATCTCATCCTGTGAAAATCGTTTATGCAACTTGTTGCTAATTTCCCAATACTTTATCAGTCATATGATCTTGGCAGTGATAAATTCTGTTAGCCTATGATAACCTCACTTTTTAAAGTTAGGCCTGCATTTGCCAGAGAAAAACTCATCTTTTATTTTATTTAAATTGTAATTGAATGGATAACATTCTAGTTATAAAGAAAAAACATATTATTGTTTAAGATTTAGCTTAATCTCAAGTCTGATTGTCTAACGTATAGGAATTACCATTTTTTCTATACGTACATGTTCTTGCTGGGCCAGCCGGTGTTTGTAGGATTTTGCCTGAAAATCACAACCACTTCCTGGTTCCTGCAGAAACGGCAGAGATTTGCTGCAAACTATTGGCATTTCTAGTTTAATATCTTTAATATCGCACTATGCGATTATTGGGTAAAACCCTGGACCCCAATTTTTTTCAGAAACGTATGCAACATTTGGTGGGGCAGCCTCCGTTTCGGACTTGTGTTTCGCTGTCCAAGAAGCAGGGAGCCAGAGAACATCTTGTTCACGCTCAGATGGATTGTTTAAATCTTGGCGATATGGAATAAGCACAGATATCTCTATAAAATTGTGATGTTTTATTTCTAATATTGCAAAGGAAGATATATTTCTCCCCTATTGATTCCCACCATAACAGAGATTGACAGGTGTTTTTTCCTGATTCTGTTTGTAAAGTTTGGGGATTCTGATGAATTTTCTGGCAGATATTTTCTCTTTCTTTGCAAAATGGTTTGACACAGATTCAGTAATATTTCCTGCACTTATGTCTCCCTCAATCTTTAACCATCAGCTTTCCTGCCTTTTGTAATGAAGCTCCTTGTCCCAGTGAGTACATGGTAATTAGAATGTGATGGCACGAGATGTTTATCGAACAGTTAAACATTGCTAAATAATGTCACAGAGTTTAAAGAGACCTTAGGACCCACATCCTGCCGTGTGCGTATTGCTCAGATAATTCCCTGTGTCACGAGTTCACTGCATTTCATTATGTTCACTATTCACAGTCTGTCCGACTGAGTGTGGCTTCCAGCTCAGGGAAGTGTAAGACACTTGTGGTCGGTGAGTTGAGTTTTCTACGTACTAGCATTGTGTTTTTCTTTTTCAGTCATCTGATTAAATGCATTTCCAGAAATGACTGTGACTGATACTTGATAAAGTTGGCTTGTAGGTAACAATGCACCAATGGGTACCACTTGGTTACATCTCGTATAAACAGAAAATAGGCAACAGACAATCCTGGGGCAGCGCCTTGAAAGCTTCAACACTTTTTTTTTTTTAAAGAAATCTTTATTTTTGTCGTGCTTGAGATTAACCATACATGTAATCGGTCAAATAAGGTAGTCAAAGCAGTGATAAGAAGATCATCATTTTAGTTTCATGGCACATTTTTCTTACAGACAGGAGGGAACTGTCCTAGAACGTTGGTGTGGGTAATACAATGTAGTGTTAGGATGGTAACTCGGGTTGTCTAGGGTGTTTAGGTATCTATGCGTCGGTGGGTATCTGTAGGTGTGTCGCGCATGTGCTGTGGTAGTATGTCATGGTGGTTCGTGTTGCTCGTGAGCCTCTGGCTGGCCTGTTTTCGGGGGCCGGTTATGTGGATATATGTACGTGGGTGGGCAGGCTGGGAACAGTTAATTGGTCTTTGGTTAGGTTGTTGAGTGGCCAGAAAGAGGTCTGGTGCGAGTGGATACCCCAGTGCCTAAGGCTCGTGGGGGGTGAGGGGGTTGTGGTGATTGTGTGAGTGTGGCACCTGTGTGGGCATGTGTTCTGACGTGTCTGGTCTGGTTGGTGTGTGCTATGGTTCACTTGCTACTCATAGGAGCCTGTAGTTGACCTGTCGTGAGGTGCTGGATATGGGGAACATGCAGTGTCTGGCTAAATATAGTGTTAAAAAAAAGACAATTATTATCAAACATTATGTAAACAATAAAAACGAGCTAACAGGTGTGGTCCTTTGCCTTGCGCCCTGCATTCTTGGGGCCTTAGTATTTCTATTCCGAGTGTTCAAGTCCCTGGGGCAGTGCTTGTTGCAGCACTCGGCACAAATGTGATGGCATTATTAGGGTTTAGCGTCTCTGTAGGAGCTTGTGCAGCTGGTGTGGTATTGGGTGTGGAGAGGCCCAATGCTGCCAGGAACGCTGGTGTTTCCATGTGGGACCGAAGTATGTATGTAGCTCCGTTGCGGTTCGCTAGTAGGGTAACCTGGTTTCCCCAGCGGTAAGTCACACCTGAGGATCGGAGGTGGGTAGTGACTGGGCCCAGGGTTCTGCGCCATCGCAATGTTGCCCTGGATAGATCGTTGAAGAAGTTAAGTGAGGAGTCTTCAAAAGTCAGTGGGGTTTTCTCCCGCAATGCTGCCATGATGTGGGCTTTATCCAACGTCCAGGTGCATCTAATTATGACGTCTCTCGACTCTGTTGAAGAGGATTTAGCCATGCTTGTGATCCGGAATATGTTGTTCAGGGTAATTTTCTTGGCCACCGGGGGAGAGAGGATGGAGGTAAGCAGCCTCCTGACGTAGTGTGGCAGTTCCTCAGCCACTACTGTGGCGGGTATGCCGCGTGTCTTTATATTATTGCGGCGCTGTTGGTCCTCAAGGGCAGTCAGGCATTGGGACAGGTTGTAATAGTAAGTGTGGAGTTGCGGGATCTCACCGTTCAGGTGAATCACTGTGGTTCTGACATCTGTGATGTCTTCTTCTATCGCCTGAATGCGTGTAGTATTAGCCTGGATCTCCGTTCCTAGGGGCACCAGGTCAGCTGCCATCATTTTGCGTAGGAGGATTTTGAGATCCCCTTTAGTGGTCGGGCCGAGCTGTCAGCATGTTGCAGGCTTAAGGAGGGTTCAGTGTCAGGCTCATTTACTGCCTCTCGGCCCCTGTGTAGCGGCTCTATTGTTGGTGCCCCTTCCGTGTGTGAGGTCTCCATTTGTGTTGTTTTAGTTGGCGTGGGCCTCTGGAGTATGGCCCCTATGTTTCTGTCGGGTTTTTGTGTCCGGTGTCTCATGTTCGAGGTTCCTGATAGTGCGGTTGGTTCTGGATGTTCTGGCCTGTGTGTGCCTCAAGGAAGTGATCGAGGTACGTCTCCAGGCCTCTTGGCGTCGGTGACTGGTAGGCCCCAGTTTTGTGCCTCTGCTTATTTTGTCGCTGGGCGTACTGGAAAGGTATCTAATTGTGTGGGAAGGCTTCCAGATGCCGATTCTTGGGGATGGTAAGGTGAGATGGCGTTTCGGGGTGCTGCTATAAAGGGATTTTGTTAAGGCCTGTGAGGTGCTTTCAGGAATGGCGTCCGTTGAGGTTCAACTTCAACACTTTTAAAAATGTATTTTATTACTTTTATTGTTTGAAAATTTATATATTTTTTTTTTATTTATTTTTTAACATCTTAAAGTATATTGACTAAATTTTGCAAACCTTCCCCAGAAATATGAACTATGACTTGATGTCCATCAGAGTCAGGGCATGATTCAGCCATTCAAGTGTAAGCTCACTTTCCACCTCAGGCGTGGCAGATGAGCTTACACTCTAATGGCCATTGGAGTGATTCTAAAAACCTCCAGTTATTTAAATGTGCCTTAAGATATGGTATAGTGTGGGGCTGGTGTGTACTATAATTGCTGCCACCCAGGACTAGTGAGAGTTTGAGCGCAGGACTTAGTTTTGTATGCTTGTATTTGCTTTTGTATTACACAGCCATGTTACACCCCATGTGCTCCCTATTATGGGGTTTAGAAAAATACCTCTTTATGTATAACACCCAACGCTGACGCATGCACAATTCCATTAGTTTTTAGACACCCAGCCATTCATTGCAAATCGTGAATAGGGCTGCATTAATTACCCCAATTATATAAATGACCAGTTTAGTAACCAACCTGCTACAATCTAGTCTTATTGTGGAAGAAAAATCTACTTTTTTTCTTTGATTATTAAACTAAAACTGGTTCCAGTGATGCTTTGATTGTATCTGCAGTAACTGGTGATTTACCCGTCCTAACTGTAACACAATAACATGGAATTAACACAAACACAGCAATCTTCAAGTCTTAAAACGTGTTTCTCCAGAAACTGGCTCATCCAGAAAGTGTCCTTTCCGCACTGTAATCGGCCCTTTGTTTCATCTTTGTCATTGATTTAGTGTTTTGACTTGTTTATGCCATGTCACGCATCTGATAGAAATTATCCTAGAAATCGACAATGAGTGTCAGTTCGCTATAAAAAACCCAATGAGGGGTGTATTTAAGGGCTTAACACATCCACAGCACCGGGTTGTCATGGTGGTCCGAAAGTGGTACCTGGGCTTGGAATTTCTGTGTGCCAGTTGGTGAGATCATGAAATGTTCCGTGACAGCCCAACGATGAAGTCACGGAGAATCGATTAGGCTGTGTCTCTTGACACAGACACGAGCAGAGCTTCCGCACTTTCCATTACTCCTGGAATGTGTCACTGAAAATATGGAATACTTTTCTGACATGTAGGTTCCCGGTGTCTTTTCTCATACCAGCATTGCTTCCAGTGCTATGTGTGTACTAAACTGGAGCTTTATAAAGTACTGTACGCACTATAACCACAAATTACTGGAGTGGCACCATCTCATGGCATGTAGTCAGTTTTCAAATAATTTGACAATTACCCAGGACAGCCTCATTCATTTTTCTTGTCTGATATCTGAAGAGGGTCTAAAACGCAGGCAGCTGTTAGACCTACGTTAGTATCAGACTGAAAACTGACTGTATACTGTGGTCTGTAGTGCTTATTGTGCTTAGAATGCCATTTTAAAGACAGACGATGGAGAGAATAACAGAGATATTTATTATTTATATAGCGCCAGCAAGTTCGTAGCGCTGTACAATGGGTTAAATATTATTCAAATATGAAGCATTTGTTTAGGTGTCCTTGGCAAATGTAGACAGGATTGGTGTAAGATCTGCTATCAGCATGTGAGCGATTAGATGGAGTTAGATAGCATTACGGTTTAAAATATCACAGCGAGTGATGTACTGGGTGAAAGATTCAAAGGGTATTTCAGGTCCTGCTAGACCTGGCAATTTATGGAGTTTAAAATCACAGCCGCACTTCGCGTTTACCAAAGCGCTAGTAAACAAGATGCCAGTTTATATGTTTATTAACTAAATGTGTGGTTTTTGCCGTGGGTGTGCTTGTTATTGTACACTGCGGAGCCATATTCAAAATGGTGGAAGCCAGGTACAGGGAATGACATCTATTATTCTGTAGATCTGCTAGCAGTTTCGCCAGAACAATGAATAGTTTAAATTTACATATTTACCTCTGTGAAACCAACCTTGTCTTTTGCATATTTTGTGATGTTCTTTTCTGATCTGACACGGTCATGCATTCGATATTTTTCGTCAATGTTCCTATGTGAAGTTGAAATCTATACTGGGAGTCTAAAGTAATTTCGCAATTTACAGTTTTTGTATTGGATGTGAAAGTTTGTATGACTTATATTATTTAATATTAGCAGTATTTCAGCAGTTAGAGCTCCATTTGTCGTTCTGTGTGATCGGACCAGACTGGTTAGCCTTTCCTCCCATGTGCCTCAATTAGTCTTGGGTGCCCATGACCCTGACACCGGTTCACTGGTTGTCCTTCCTTGCACCACTTTTATGGTAGGTACTAAATACGGCATACCGGGAGCACCCCACAAGACTTTTTGGAGATGCTCTGACCCAGTCGTCTAGCTATCAGTATTTGGCCCTTTTTTTTTTTAAATCACTCAGATTTTTTTTATCTGCCCATTTTTCCTGCTTCCAACACATGGAATTCAAAAACTGAAAGGTGCCGTTGTCATGATTTAATCCATGTTATTCACTTCATCTGCCAGTGGTTTTAATGTTGTGACTGATCAGAGTATTTATAAATAGCTCAAATCTAAGTATAGTGGTAGTAGTGAAAAAATAGATGCATAAAAATACATTTGATATTAAAGGGACACTATAGTCGCCTGAACAACTTTAGCTTAATGAAGCAGTTTTGGTGTATAGAACATGTGGCTAGGGCTGCTAAACAGAAACAAAGGGATTTAACTCCTAAATGACAGTGAATTAAGCAGTGAAATTGCAGGGGAATGATCTATACACTAAAACTGCTTTATTTAGCTAAAGTAATTTAGGTGACTATAGTGTTCCTTTAAGATGTATGTTTCTATACAGTTTAGGAATTGTGTCATAAATCCTGATTCTACATAAAGTCCTTTAACCCCTTAAGGACCAAACTTCTGGAATAAAATGGAATCATGACATGTCACACATGTCATGTGTCCTTAAGGGGTTAAATGTTTTGCATTTGTGAGAGTCTTGTGCTCCAATTTAACTCTCAAAAGCTTGTCTTTTAAATATTATATTAGTCAAAAAAAAAAAAAATGCATCATTGCATACTGCAACATGTTGGCTATTTTGCAATCTTGTCTACTGGGCTAATACGGCTAATCCAATCTGATATATATATATATATATATATATATATATATAATATATATATATATAAAATAAACTCGCATTTCTAGGACTTTCTATCCTTTTTATTACTGTTTGCATTGAGATATTTTGATAAGTAATTCTTTATGCAGTGCGCAGGTGAAATGCACTATCTCGTCTATGTGTTAACTGGTTAATGATTTCATGCAGAGTTGGTAATGATTAAACTATTAGCCACACGGCCGAAGCAGAACATGTCTTGCATTACTGAGAGCCTCTGTCTCTATTTTACCTGAATTGCACATATATCTCTCTTTTTGCTTTATTGTTATTTATTGTGTGCTGAGTCTGCATTTATTTATTTTGCAGAGAAATATTCTCTATTTACCACAAATCTCCAGCGTTCACACGACAGAGAAAAAATGGAATACCAATGACCCAGGGATTTGGCTTCCCAGCTCTCCAATGGCCACCGGATTCTAGAATGGTGAGTTAGCAGTCGGACCGCTGGATTTGTGATCACTTCTTTAAATTCTTGAACTCTTACTGATGTGCCCATAGATTATTACAAAGGGGTCACTGTAGAGTGAATATAGAGTACTGGAGTCACAGTAAGGAGTCACTATACAGAGAGTGTATAGTATTGGAGTCACAGTAACGGGTCACTATACAGAGAGTGTATAGTATTGGGGTCACAGTAAGGGGTCACTATACAGAGAGTGTATAGTATTGGAGTCACAGTAACGGGTCACTATACAGAGAGTGTATAGTATTGGGGTCACAGTAAGGGGTCACTATACAGAGAGTGTATAGTATTGGGGTCACAGTAAGGGGTCACTATACAGAGAGTGTATTGGAGTCACAGTAAGGGGTCACTATACAGAGAGTGTATAGTATTGGGGTTACAGTAAGGGGTCACTATACAGAGAGTGTATAGTATTGGGGTCACAGTAAGGGGTCACTATACAGAGAGTGTATAGTATTGGGGTCACAGTAAGGGGTCACTATACAGAGAGTGTATAGTATTGGGGTCACAGTAAGGGGTCACTATACAGAGAGTGTATAGTATTGGGGTCACTATACAGGGAGTGCAGAATTATTAGGCAAGTTGTATTTTTGAGGATTAATTTTATTATTGAACAACAACCATGTTCTCAATGAACCCAAAAAACTCATTAATATCAAAGCTGAATATTTTTTGAAGTAGTTTTTAGTTTGTTTTTAGTTATAGCTATGTTCGGGGGATATCTGTGTGTGCAGGTGATTATTACTGTGCATAATTATTAGGCAACTTAACAAAAAACAAATATATACCCATTTCAATTATTTATTATTACCAGTGAAACTAATATAACATCTCAACATTCACAAATATACATTTCTGACATTCAAAAACAAAACAAAAACAAATCAGTGACCAATATAACCACCTTTCTTTGCAAGGACACTCAAAAGCCCGCCATCCATGGATTCTGTCAGTGTTTTGATCTGTTCACCATCAACATTGCGTGCAGTAGCAACCACAGCCTCCCAGACACTGTTCAGAGAGGTGTACTGTTTTCCCTCCTTGTAAATCTCACATTTGATGATGGACCACAGGTTCTCAATGGGGTTCAGATCAGGTGAACAAGGAGGCCATGTCATTAGATTTTCTTCTTTTATACCCTTTCTTGCCAGCCACGCTGTGGAGTACTTGGACGCGTGTGATGGAGCATTGTCCTGCATGAAAATCATGTTTTTCTTGAAGGATGCAGACTTCTTCCTGTACCACTGCTTGAAGAAGGTGTCTTCCAGGAACTGGCAGTAGGACTGGGAGTTGAGCTTGACTCCATCCTCAACCCGAAAAGGCCCCACAAGCTCATCTTTGATGATACCAGCCCAAACCAGTACTCCACCTCCACCTTGCTGGCGTCTGAGTCGGACTGGAGCTCTCTGCCCTTTACCAATCCAGCCACGGGCCCATCCATCTGGCCCATCAAGACTCACTCTCATTTCATCAGTCCATAAAACCTTAGAAAAATCAGTCTTGAGATATTTCTTGGCCCAGTCTTGACGTTTCAGCTTGTGTGTCTTGTTCAGTGGTGGTCGTCTTTCAGCCTTTCTTACCTTGGCCATGTCTCTGAGTATTGCACACCTTGTGCTTTTGGGCACTCCAGTGATGTTGCAGCTCTGAAATATGGCCAAACTGGTGGCAAGTGGCATCGTGGCAGCTGCACGCTTGACTTTTCTCAGTTCATGGGCAGTTATTTTGCGCCTTGGTTTTTCCACACGCTTCTTGCGACCCTGTTGACTATTTTGAATGAAACGCTTGATTGTTCGATGATCACGCTTCAGAAGCTTTGCAATTTTAAGAGTGCTGCATCCCTCTGCAAGATATCTCACTATTTTTGACTTTTCTGAGCCTGTCAAGTCCTTCTTTTGACCCATTTTGCCAAAGGAAAGGAAGTTGCCTAATAATTATGCACACCTGATATAGGGTGTTGATGTCATTAGACCACACCCCTTCTCATTACAGAGATGCACATCACCTAATATGCTTAATTGGTAGTAGGCTTTCGAGCCTATACAGCTTGGAGTAAGACAACATGCATAAAGAGGATGATGTGGTCAAAATACTCATTTGCCTAATAATTCTGCACTCCCTGTACAGAGTGTGTATAGTATTGGGGTCACTATACAGAGAGTGTATAGTATTGGAGTCACAGTAAGGGGTCACTATACAGAGAGTGTATAGTATTGGGGTCACAGTAAGGGGTCACTATACAGAGAGTGTATAGTATTGGGGTCACAGTAAGGGGTCACTATACAGAGAGTGTATAGTATTGGAGTCACAGTAAGGGGTCACTATACAGAGAGTGTATAGTATTGGGGTCACAGTAAGGGGTCACTATACAGAGAGTGTATAGTATTGGGGTCACAGTAAGGGGTCACTATACAGAGAGTGTATAGTATTGGAGTCACAGTAAGGGGTCACTATGGTATTGGGGTCACAGTAAGGGGTCACCATACAGAGTGTATAGTATTGAGTCACAGAAGGGCCCACTATACAGAGAGTGTATATAGTATTAGTCACAGTAAGGGGTCACTATACAGAGTGTATAGTATTGGGGTCACAGTAAGGGGTCATACAGAGAGTGTATAGTATTGGGTGGTCACTATACAGAGAGTGTATAGTATTGGAGTCACAGTAAGGGGTCACTATACAGAGAGTGTATAGTATTGGAGTCACAGTAAGGGGTCACTATACAGAGAGTGTATAGTATTGGGGTCACAGTAAGGGGTCACTATACAGCGAGTGTATAGTATTGGGGTCACAGTAAGGGGTCACTATACAGAGAGTGTATAGTATTGGGGTCACAGTAAGGGGTCACTATACAGAGAGTGTATAGTATTGGGGTCACAGTAAGGGGTCACTATACAGAGAGTGTATAGTATTGGAGTCACAGTAAGGGGTCACTATACAGAGAGTGTATAGTATTGGGGTCACAGTAAGGGGTCACTATACAGAGAGTGTATAGTATTGGGGTCACAGTAAGGGGTCACTATACAGAGAGTGTATAGTATTGGGGTCACAGTAAAGGGTCACTATACAGAGAGTGTATAGTATTGGGGTCACAGTAAGGGGTCACTATACAGAGAGTGTATAGTATTGGGGTCACAGTAAGGGGTCACTATACAGAGAGTGTATAGTATTGGGGTCACAGTAAGGGGTCACTATACAGAGAGTGTATAGTATTGGGGTCACAGTAAGGGGTCACTATACAGAGAGTGTATAGTATTGGGGTCACAGTAAGGGGTCACTATACAGAGAGTGTATAGTATTGGGGTCACAGTAAGGGGTCACTATACAGAGAGTGTATAGTATTGGGGTCACAGTAAGGGGCTGCTATACACAGGTTTTTTTGCCTTCTTTTGAGTAAATGGCGTAAAAGAATGGGTTTCAGAGTTGAACTTGATGGGCTGGTGTTTTTTCAATAACTATGTAAGAGTACAGTATTGAGATCCCAGTCATGGTAAGGAGTCAATGTTTATTCCTATTGCAGGCAAGGAAGGGGAAGATAGACGGACACTATCTGATTGAGGAGTTTGATATGTTTCCGTTACAATTCTACGTGTTATGTTATAAATCATATCCCCCAACTTCCTAGATAACAGCTCTCATAATAGACTCTCCACGCTGCCATTAGACTATAACTCTTGCAATTAGCAATCAGAGGATGATGTGAATTGCAGTCTGGAAAAAAACTGGAGATCTGTTTATGAAAATAATCATCATTTTTCTTGTGTTCTCATATTTTCCCAGTATTTGTTAACATTGCTGGTTTCAGCTTATGCATTATCTAAACGAACTCACTATTGCGTTATATTTGTTAATGATGAGCAAGGGTTAAATTAATGGATCCAAGGAACCCTGGCTCTTAAAAATCTTTTAACTTTTTTAGGACATTATATAGTATGCCTTTACACTTAAAGGAGCACTCTGAGTAAAGTAATAAAAAATATATACTATTATTATTATTATAGAAAGCATTTATATAGCGCCAACACATTCCAGAGTGATTTACAACTCTAGAAAGGGAATATTTTGAGGTCTCAAACAAGCTTGCAATAATCTATGAGGATCTGAGCTGGTCGGATGTATATCGTTAGGTGTCTTGACCAGGGGCACTTGCTGGTGAGGAGGTCTGACCGGTTTCAAATCTGGGTTTTCTAAAAAGTTTTAGATTTCTCATTTTGGCACTGATAGGGTTAAAATCACCCTAATTCCAGTGTAGTTAGTCTCCTCACTGCAGCTCAGATCTGCGTTGTGATGTTGGACATAAGTCACCAGTAATCTTGCTATTTCTCATCGCTGCACAATTAATTGTACTGCAACCATACACGTCCGCCTAGGGACCAGGGGTTAGACAGGGGCCCCGGAACCATGAATTTGCTTTGCCCCACTAACCATTCATAACTGACAACTTCTTCCCACAGAGAATCTTAGGAACACACCAGCTATGCTTCCACTACAATACAAAGCTGCCTGTTTGAGAATGTGTTAATAAAATTGCAGATCTTTCTTGAAATGGAAACATTTATAAAATAAATCAGTAAGTGAAATATAAATCTCCATCTGTTTCCATACTATCTCTACCACAAACCATTACAACGGCAAACATAAACAGTGTCTCTCAAAGACTTTTAGGAGTTGTAGTATGTCCAAAGATCAAGGTCCATGTTTGGCTACTGTTGTCCTAGTTCTAAGGAAATATATAAATATTTAAAAATGTATAACTGGTCATACTGGTTAGAAACTGACTGGCGACCTTTGCTTTTAAAAACACGTCTTCACCTTAGTCAGATCACGTAGAATTTGTTGCTAGGAATAAATAAAGGTACAGACAAAGCTTTTCTTTTGTCGAGGGCTTCTAATGGGATATGATGTATTTAACCATAGAGAAATCCCTGTTTTGATCTGTACATTGTTTAACCTTGAGGCAGTAATCTCCATGCCCTTCTGATTTCTCACAAACTCACGTGATATATCCTGCTCCTGTCACAAACATGTGGCTATCTTTCTTTGAGAGAAGCCATTGATGGAAAATAAAACTATACATTGCCAGTTATATTCTTTATCCTGTTTTTTTTTTTTCTCAATCTTTGTGGTTGAATGGCACCCATCACACAGAGTTTGTATCTTTTTATGCAAGCCGTATTTTGTGAACAGTCTGTGCGGCTTGCTTATAGAACATACAATGTAGACCAGGGATTCGAGAATTTCAGTGGTCTGTAGACTGCTTTAGCAAATTGTCTATTTGGAGAATTTCTGATAAAAAAAAACAAAAAAAACAAAAAGAAACTGTGTGCTAGGAACATTGTTTTACAGAATTACAGAGAAGAGTAATATATTGATATTAAAAAAAATAAAAAAAAACCCAACAAATGGATCATTATCTATGCCATTGGTTAGAAATGCCACCAACAGGGCAGCACTCACCGCCCCCACCTTCTATGAAAAACATCTGTTTAGGTGAGCAATCCCCCTAGAGGCCTTATCACACTGCTGTATGCGCACATATGCGCAGAAACCAAAGAATGGGGCAACCTGACATACATTGGTCATTGGGAGCGGGACCTGGGTGAGGTGCTGGAGGGGGTGGAGTGGCAGGAGGTCTGGGAGGCGACAGCCACATCTTCCATTTGCGTTTCTATACAGGAGCAGTCATACAAGACCCTCTTTAGATGGTACACCACCCCCATACAATTGCACCGCATGCGCAAATTGCCCACGGACTTATGCTGGAGGAACTGTGGTCTTAGAGGAACTTACATCCACATGTGGTGGGAGTGCCCCATCATACAAAAGCTCTGGGGGGAGATCAGAGACTTGGTGGCCCAGGTCTTCCAGAGGGCCCCAACCCTTGACCCGTGGACATTTCTCTTAGGCAGGCCCAAACACGACCTAAAACTATTCAATAAGATCACATTGGCAGCCAGGCGGGCCATAGCACAATACTGGCTAAAGATGCAGCCCCCCCCCTCACTAGTTCTGGGAAAAATAAAGGACAGCTATCTCATGGACGATTTGACTGCCAGGGTGCGCGGCACCCGGAGGAAGTTTGAGAAGACGTGGGGACTGTGGAGGGAATGCCCCTTGGCAGAATGACGGGTCCGGCGCTGTATTGGACGCGGTGTTGCCTGCCTTATCTCCCCCCTCCCCTCCTCTTCGCCCCCCCTCGGGCCCCTCCCTGCGCCTGGTCCACCCATATCTTCCACTATTGTTCCCTCCCTTTCCTTTTCTTCTGTACTTTTCTACTATTTCTCTCTCTCATTATGGCCCTTACTCTGGACAAGGCCGGGCGGGCCCCTTACCCCTGCTCAGCCGGGCCTAACAGCTCCAATGGTCCACTGCAAGATGCACATGATCATACTCCTACTCAGCATCCTTTAGCATGAAGTAGAGTAGGCACCACAGGATATCTATAAAGGCCTTACACCTTTTCTAGCCCCTACTGCCCGAGAAAGTGCACAGTAAAACGTTAACTTGATGGCTTATTTATGACGTATGTACCCCCACTGGAGAGCGTTATCTATCAGCTATGTACTTGGTTTTATTCTCTTGTGTTATCTATTGCTCCTCCATAATGTATGCCTTTAATGCCAGCAGGCTCTCTCCGCCTGACCACGATTGTATGTTATGAAACGGGCGCATCTTGTTTTATCTTTTGCTGATATGTGAAATAAAAAAAAAAAAAAAAAAAGAAATGCCACCAAGAGTTAAAGGGACCCTGTACTTACCAAAACAACTTTTGCTAAAATGAAGTAGTTTTGGTATATAAATCATGTCCCTGCAGTCTCACTGCTCAATTATCTGGCATTTAGGAGTTAAATCACTTTGTTTATGCAGCTCTAGCCACACCTCCCCTGGCTGTCACTCACACAGTCTTCCTAAACACTTCCTGTAAATGTTTACACTTCCTTTATTGCACATTTTGTTAAATTTTGTATTTCTTATCTCCTGCTGTTAATAGCTTGGTAGACCTTGCAGAAGCCTCCAGTATGTAATTTAAGTTCAAATTACAGAGCAGGAAATAAAAACTTTTAAAGTTAGTTACTTCTGATTGAAAATAAAACCATTATGTTTTCATGCAGGCTGTGTCTGCCACTGCTAGTGGAGGCATCGCTAAAGCTGCATAAAAAGAAACAAAATTGATTTAACTCCTAAATGGCAGATAATTGAGCAGTGAAACTTCGGAGACACGATCTATACACCAAAACTACTTAATTAAGCTAAAGTTGTTTTGGTGACTATAGTGTCCCTTTAAAGTACTCTTAGACCTACAATATACCAATATTGATATTATTTTAAAAAATGTCCTTATAGAAAGTTTTTGAAAATGAAAGACTCCTGTTTCTTTGTTTCTACAGTGTAAGGACCACTGGTCCAGCTGGTTATGTCCACCATAATGGTAGACGCCGTTGGTGACTTCTGTTCTATGACGCCATTGGATGATGACGACCTAGGAAGCCCTTTAACTGGAGAATTTCTCCAAAATATTGGTGACATCCAGGACATCTCCCAGACCGATGTTTGTGCGGCTTTCAGTGCCGTTGAGTACCAGTACTTGGAAACCAGCCCTGGGTCAAATGGCTCTGTTAGCCCAGACCTTACAGGTGAGTGCGAGAGGGTTTTGGAAATCCATAGCCTAAACTACTCATTCCATTCCACTTCTCGTTTCTGGTGCATTGGCACAACCTGGATCCTTGAGTATTGAAAGCTAATATGACCTACTCAGTCTGCAGTAGAACCACACACTAAAACTTGAGATGGAAATTTTATCAGTCTGCATCATATTTTTACTGTTAATAAATTTATTTTCAAAGCACTGATTTTCACAATGCTGCGCAAAGGACTTTGGACAATTAATTACTGAGACGCTATTTCTGATGTACTCACTCTACATACTCGCGCACGCAGGCTCTGCTGTAACATCTGGCAGTACCTCAGGATTGTGAAACTGTTCAGTTCTATTCCCTTGGCATGGGTTGCGGGTGGAGGAACAAGTGGTTGAGCAGCAAATAAGCTTGATAATTGTAATAAATCTCAAACTTCACATTTTTGACAATGATGGATATCGGGGGGGGGGCGGTCCCTTTGGTTAAAAGGGGACCCGAGACCTCATTTCATATTTTCTTAATTATATGCTTTTCTCTGTCTAGCTCAGATGCACTTGGTAAACAACCCATAACCCAATGTTACCTAGACTTCTCAAGCAAACAGAATCAATAGGCAATTCATCACCTACTGCAAGATAGTGGGCGATTCATGCTGAGGGTCAGTCAGTAAAGCATTCACTAAACAAAATTTAGAAATTGAAAAAAACAAACCATAGACATCTATAAATAGTTGTAGCTGTTTATCGTGATGGCCAATCTGCTGGGAAGTGTAAACGTCAGCAAATATAAACTTAAAGATGAAAGATTTCTATGTGGGAGAAACAAAGAAAGCCGTGACCTGCATTTCTACGCTATCTTAGTCCTCGGCAGGCACATTCCGCTGATAACTGCAATCCTGGGTGGAAATACTGAAATTTAAATGATTATAAAGAACTGTGTGGCGCAATGTAATACTGGATTATTTTTGTTGTCTTAGACACCCTGTCACCAGCATCAAGTCCGTCTTCCATCACCTTCTCCGCTGCCGCTGGAGGCGCCGAGGAGCAGTCTTGTAAAACATTGAGTCTTGAATGCAGAGTGTGCGGAGACAAAGCGTCAGGATTTCATTATGGTGTTCATGCGTGTGAAGGCTGCAAGGTACCAAACTAAAGCTATGATCCTCTGCCAGCAAAGGCGATTTATTCGGCTTAATCAAATTAATACATACTGCAGTTAGCAAGTTCTGCTTAGCACTAGAACAATGCTGTCCCAGCATAACACACGCCGTCACAATTCCAAATTCTCTGAACATTCTGTATCCAGAGGATCTCCCAATATTTTTGCGACCGCAGTTCTGTAGAACTTCTAATGCCAAGTAACAAGGTCATTCGATGACACAGGGCATTTAGGGCACACTGTGTGATGACCACATGACTTGTCATTGTCCTGAATGTGTTAATAGAAATGGCATTTACAAACTGACAAATTCATGTGTGTGTGTGTGTAACAGTTATGGGCCTTGAAGGTTATGCATTTTATTGCAGAACACATCCTGTATAGTGGGGTGTAAGTAGCATATAGGAGACAAACACGTTTATTATTTCAGGAAGGCAGGTTATAAGATCTGAGAAATAACAGCTTGATTGATTCAGGTCATGGTTAATGTCTAAAATAATGTTTTGATCAGGATAAACTAGTGGCTGCCCCCTGTCAACTTAGTAATGCAGACATATTGTAGAATAAAAACAGGAAAGGTCAATAACATTTACATAAATAGAAATATATATTTTTTTAAATTCTTTATTTTTGTATTGCATGAGGAAAAGTACATGCTGTGTAAAGACATATCAGTGAGAGAATACATGTAAATAAACTGTACAGTATATCATAGTATGACAAGTTCACTTTTTGTAAGGTAAGAGAGAATATTATAAGCATGATGATATAAAGATAGTAATTCAGGCTAGATCCTTTGGTCACATGCATAAACAATAAAACCACTTGGTACTTGTTAGAGCTGGTAACACGGTGAAGCATAAGGCTCTGTTTGATATATCAGATTGGTAGATGAAGCCGGCCCCAGCCCATACTGCAGATGGGCATCGATAGACAATCGGACTTTGGGTCAGCCATGAGGTCGCCTCTTGCTCCCCCACAGACCCGCAGGGGTAGCCCGGTTACATGTGGAGACTCCATAGGTGGGCTGCTGATTGCAGAGTGTTCATCTCCCAGGGTACGTGCTTTAAAGGGAGCCAGCGGTGCTCTTCGGGTGGTACTCACTCTTGGCGTGAGGTCGGGACCTGTGGCACTCCGACTTTCGATAAGCCTTCCTATTAATCAGGCTGCGAGGTGATTGCTTCTCCGATTGGGCCCCGGCCTAATGCTGGATAGGTGGACTGCAGCTTCATTCTCATGTTCTGCTTTAGCAGGCAGGACATGGTGGGGAGTTCTAAGCTGTATGCTTCTCCAGAAAGCCTGACAGATTTGGTTGAACCTAGCTTCGAAACCCTCTCTCCACTGCTGGATACTTGAGATATTTTGCCGCGGCAGCCATCTTAGGCACGTTATGCGGTCCGCAGCTCAGCAGGGAAATCCCTGCATTTCTCCCATTTGTAATTTAGGTTGAAATTTCTACTACTTCTAATTCATTATTATTATCAATTATTAAATGGGGTTATTTGACAAGTAATGTACATACGGTCAGTGGTGTATTTTGGATTTGTGCTGCCCTACTCATGACTACACTCGTACACCCCTAATCTAATCTAAATTTTCTCCACCTCTTCCTGTCAAGGCCACGCCTCTTTTGTTTAAGACAAACACGCACTTTTTTGACTGACAAATGCACGCCTTCATTGATACATGCACTGACATACACTCATAGATAGATACACAGTCAATGGCACACACACTGTTTAACCATCACAATTTCACTGACAGATACACACTAACACAATGACACACACACTGACACACCCGCTCCCTGACAGGCACACACTGACATACACGTACTCGCTGATTTGACAAACACTCACAGACAAATACATTCACTCATAGACACACTGATGGCTAAACACTCATTGACACACAAACACTCACTGACAGAAACATACACAAACACTCACTGACAGAAACATACACAAACACTCACTGACAGAAACATATACAAACACTCACTGACAGAAACATAAACAAACACTCACTGACAAGAAACAGACACAAACACTCACTGACAAGACACACACACACACTCACTGACAAAAAACAGACACACACACACTCACTGACAGAAACAGACACACACACACACACACTCACTGACAGAAACAGACACACACACACTCATTCCCTGACAGACACACACACTCACTGACACACACACTCACTGGCAGGAAAACACTCACTCACTGACAGACACATATTTTCTCATAAACTCATACATTAATATCATTTTACCTTTGCGAGAGCTGGAGTGGATCTTGTGCCTGGGGTCCAGTGTGGGTGCTGGGCTCTGGCTAGCTGGACTTGCTGGACAGGAGGGGGGGTAGGCGCGCTATGGAGGTGTGCTCTTCTTGCTCTGCTCCCTCACCCACCGGGAGCCAGAGTGACGTTGTTTTCCGGGTCAGGGCAAAGGAGAAAAGCAAGAAGTGCACAGAGGACAGCGCTTCCTCGCCGCCCCGCTAGAATCTGAGCAACTAAGGTTGCCAACTGGCCGCATGTGAGAAGAGGCTAAGAAGGCATATGTCAGGGCGTTTGGGGCTACCCCCCTGAAAGTGCTGCCCAATGTAAATGCATTGTTAGCTTCGTGGAAAATAGAGCCTTGGACGTGGTGACAGTGAGGAAGCCCTGCTCAAATGCACTTACAATCTGTGAGATTGGTGTCCGATGTTTAGATTTGGATACTGTGGTGAACAGACGCAGAAATACTTAAATATATAAATTGTAAAGTTAAATGCTTTAGTAAAAACAAAACTCATGGTTAATGGAGAAAAGTATAATTCATTGTGTCAGGTAATAATGTGTCTACTTGTTAGACAGATTGCAGGGTTCCGTGTCTTTTTGGGGGAATAAGGGCACTGTGGTCCCTTATTTATTTATTATTATTTATTATTGCCATTTATATAGCGCCAACAGATTCCGTAGCGCTTTACAATATTATGAAAGGGGATTTAACTATAAATAGGACAATTACAAATAAACTTACAGGAACAATAGGTTGAAGAGGACCCTGCTCAATCGAGCTTACATTCTATAGGAGGTGGGGTGTAAAACACATTAGGACAGGAATGTGCAATCAAATAAGGTGGGCTGCCCTTTAGGAGAGGGCAAGAGATGAGTATGTGAGGTAGGGGTTAGTCTTGGAGGCCATAAGCTTTCCTAAAGAGATGGGTTTTAAGGCACTTCTTAAAAGATGCAAGACTAGGGGAGAGTCGGATGGCGGTAGGCAGGCTATTCCATAGGAAGGGAGCCGCCCGCGAGAAGTCCTGCAAGCGCGAGTTGGCCGTACGGGTGCGGACAACGGACAGGAGGTGGTCACGGGCAGAGCGGAGAGACCGAGAAGGGACATACCTGTGGATCAGTGAGGAGATATAAGAGGGGCTAGAGTTGTTCAGTGCTTTATAGGTGTGAGTTAGTGCCTTGAATTGACTCCTATAGCACACAGGAAGCCAATGTAAGGACTGGCAGAGGGGTGAGGTGTGAGAGAACCGACTAGAGAGGAAAATCAGTCTAGCAGCAGCATTCATTACAGACTGTAGGGGTGCAGTACGGCTTTTGGGAAGACCAAGCAGGAGAGGGTTACAATAATCCATGCGTGAAATTATTAGAGCATGGACAAGCTCCTTGGTAGTATCTGGTGCAAGAAAGGGGCGGATGCGGGCTATGTTTTTAAGATGGAATCTACAGGATTTGGCAACATGCTGGATGTGAGGCTCAAAGGTGAGACCAGAGTCAAGTATGACGCCAAGACAGCGCGCTTGCAAGGATGGGCTGATGTTGGTACCACAAACTTGAAGGGAGAGCGAAAGAGGAGGATCAGTATTAGGAGGAGGAAAGACAAGGAGCTCAGTTTTTGAGAGATTGAGTTTCAGAAAGCGGGAGGACATCCAGTCAGAGATGGAAGAAAGGCAAGCAGTGACACGTTGCAGGACAGCAGGGGAGAGGTCCGGGGAGGAGAGATATAGCTGGGTGTCATCAGCGTACAGGTGGTAGTGGAAACCAAATGAGGTAATAAGTTTGCCAAGAGAGGCAGTATAAAGAGAAAATAGAAGGGGACCAAGGACGGAGCCTTGGGGGACTCCAACCGAGACAGGGCGAGGGGAGGAGGTATCATTAGAAAAAGAGACACTGAATGAGCGTTGGGAGAGATAAGAGGAAAACCACGAGAGGACAGAGTCACAGAGACCAAGCGATTGCAGAGTTTGAAGAAGGAGAGCATGATCAACGGTGTCAAAGGCCGCCGAGAGGTCAAGAAGAATTAGTATGGAGTAGTGGCCTTTGGATTTAGCTGCGATTAGGTCGTTAGTAACTTTGATAAGGGCAGTCTCTGTAGAGTGGAGAGGGCGGAAGCCAGATTGAAGGGGGTCAAGGAGAGAGTTGGAATTGAGGAAATGAGACACACGGGTAAAGACGAGTCTTTCCAGAAGCTTTGAGGAAAAAGGGAGCAGGGATATGGGACGGTAGTTAGAGGGGGTGGATGGGTCAAGGGATGTTTTTTTTAGTATAGGTACTACAGTGGCATGTTTAAGGTCAGCAGGGACGATGCCAGAAGAGAGCGAGCAGTTGAAGATGTGTGTTAGAGAAGGCACGAGACAAGCGGAGAGAGATCTGATAAGGTGAGACGGGACAGGATCGAGCGGGCAAGTGGTGGGGCGAGAGGAGCAAAGAAGAGCAGCCACCTCTTGGTCAGTGGCTGGGGAGAATGTCTGAAGGGTAGGAAAGGCATGATCAATGTGTGATTGAGAAACAGAAAGGCAAGGAGGGGAGAATTCTTTCCTTAGCTGTTCAATTTTGTCAGTGAAGTAACATGCAAAGTTATCAGCAGTAAGGTTGGTTTGGGGGGTGGCCACAGCGGGGCGAAGAAGAGAATTAAAGGTGTCAAAGAGACGCCTGGGGTTGCGGGAACATGAACTAATGAGAGAGGAAAAATAGGACTGTTTGGCAAGGGCAAGGGCTGCACTGTATGAACACAGTATGAATCTATAATGGAGAAAGTCTGACTGGGTGCGAGACTTCCTCCAGGAGCGTTCAGCACACCGGGAGCATCTTTGCAGGTAGCGCGTTGATTTAGTATGCCATGGTTGGGGGCGGGTCCTCCTTGAGGTGCTTGCTTGGAGTGGCGCTGCAGTGTTCAAGGCAGATGTAAGAGTAGAGTTATATATGGAGATGGCCAGTGAAGGACAGGATAGGGAAGGGATGGACAGCAGTTGTGGATCAATGTCAGCTGACAACTGTTGGAGATCAAGAGAATTAAGGTCCCTCCTGAGTTGAGGCTGGTTAGGCGGAGGTTGTTGGGTGAGGGGGTACGTGAGAGCAAACGATAAGAGGTGGTGATCAGAGAGAGGATAGGGAGTGTTGCAGATATTAGATACCGTACATGCATAAGTGAAGATTAGGTCGAGGGTATTGCCAGCAACATGGGTGGGTGAATTTGCCCACTGTGATAGCCCGAGGGAGGAAGTAATTGAAAGTAGTTTATTGGCTGCAGAGGTCAAAGGTGGGTTTATAGGAATATTGAAGTCCCTTGTCCAACAGTACCTTATGTCATTACCCTACCCGATACTCCTCTACGAGGCACTTGCTGAGCAGTCTATAGGAATGTAATCTTTAACTCTCACATAGAAAAAGGTTACCAAGTGCACTCAGCTCGTTATGATCAACAGCTCAGTTTAAAGTACAAAGTAGGTTTGTTTTTCTTTAGAGCATTTATAACGCTTTCAGGAGAAATGGGCTATTCTCAAATTTATCATAGAAAGCTGTTGGGAAACAAAGGATGGCTGAATGCTTCCCATCACTTCCAGGGCTGCTGTGAGTAGAACCTACAAATCCTGCAAATTTGCAACGAATTGGGAAACTTTATAGATGCGTGTCTTTTTTAGTATTGTTTTTGGCATTTTTTGAGCATTATCTGTATCAAGCTGCTCATCTACAGGAAGGAATCTCACTTATTAGGAAATAGGTTTTCAGGGAGAAATCTATTGTTTTGTGAGTACAAATGAAATTGCCGCCGCCCTAAAATTAAACGATCTGAACAAAAAACCATGACGAAATCTTACTTAGTACAATAGGCAATGAAATCATCTTTTCATGTAACACCCTTCTAGAATCTTACAATTTCTGGATTATATGATAATAGGTGCCTTTTAAGTCATGCTATTTATATTGAATTACTGAAATGTAAAGGAACACTATAGTCACCAGAACCGCTACAGCTTAATGTATAGTATACACCCTAATGTAGTGGTTCCAGTGTCTAAAGCCTGTCCCTGCAGGCTGAGCATTGTAAATGCTGCCTTTTCAGAGAAAAAGAAGTGTCTACATTACTGCCTAGCAACACCCCAAGTGGCAATCATTCAGACGGTCACTAGACTTGCTTCCGAGCACAGCGCTGATTAAATTCATCGCTAAGAGGAGATGCTGATTGGAGACGTGTGGTGTTTTGATGTGCAATAACCTCCCAATGGTTTCCTATGAGAGTCAAGGTTGATGATCTCAGCCATGGAAGCTCTTCATCCCAGTCCTCCTCTAAATAAGACTGATGTTTCTCACAGAGGCCGCGTGAGCAGCAATCGCCCTGAACCGCCAATCCAATGTTTCTCAATGAATCTGTCAAACAAACACTAGAGTTGTAAAAATTGCATTATGTAAACAATCCTGTCTCAGAAACTGTACTATTAACAACAGCAAGGCTGCATGTGCAGTAGCTATTCCTCAAATTCACATATTTAAGATATATTGAATCTGGTGCTTAAACTGTACTTGTAATCGGCATTTATTCTTGCTCCGTTAAGGCTTTGCATATCTTTCCTTGCAGGGTTTCTTTCGAAGAACAATACGTCTGAATTTAGTGTATGATAAATGTGATCGAATGTGTAAAATTCAGAAAAAGAACAGAAATAAGTGTCAATATTGCCGGTTTGAGAAGTGCCTTAGCGTGGGAATGTCACATAATGGTAAGTAGGCTAAACAGTGACTGGTTATGTGTGTAAAATAGAGAGAGATTTTTATGCTCTGTATGTTTACTATCCAGGTGTAACCTTAACGGGTTACTCCAAGCACCATGAGCAATTCAGTGATTTGAGGTGGTCATGGTGCCTGGAGTTGGTATGTGCAGTGTTTCACTATGAAACGCTGCACATATGAAGATTAACCCCTATGCTGCCTTCAACCCTGTCATTGGAGTGATATCAGCTGGTCCAGAACCAGAATTCCGGGCTGGCTAATGTCAGTTCTGTGCAACTTGCCCAGGTTGTCAGTCATTGGCTGAGAGCATTTAAGTGATGCTCTCAACAAATGTATTGCTGTGGCTTCCGGCTGCTGTTGCTCTGCACATCACTGGACCACCAGGGAGTATCAGAGCACGGCGGGGGCCAGGCCAGGTTGCTAAACTGTTTGCCCTATTACCAGGGAACTGGGCCAGGGTACTCCTGCGGGCATTAGCAGTTTATGATGTTTGGAGTAATCCTTTAATAAATGGAATGCACTACACACAAAAAAAATGTAAAATAAAAAATTGAAAGGGTGCAAATGTGAGACAGATTGTTTGAATTGATAATGCACACCAGAAACACTTTATGAATAAGGAGCAGATTACTCTGTGATACTTTGATAAATCTCCTCCAATCTCATTCTGATTTGCATTCTGTGCCCTGGCATATACATTTATAAAACATTTATATGGATTATGGATGTCACTTGCTAATTTTTAAAAATATATATTTGAAAGAAATTGGTGCATTACATAAATAAAAAGGTTTAACACAAGTTGTAGGTAATTCTGAATATTTTATTAATTGGTGTAATTTTTCAGAGAAGTGATGGTTCTCCTTTAAGTGACTTAATAAGTATTTTGCCTGAACCTTGGCGCAGTTTATAAGTGAAATATTTTGTGATGTTTCAGCAATACGTTTTGGGAGGATGCCAAGATCAGAGAAAGCTAAACTCAAGGCTGAAATTTTAACGTGTGAACAAGACCTCAAGGATTCGCAAATGGCTGACCTCATGTCCCTTGCCAAACATATTTATGATGCTTATCTGAAAAATTTTAACATGAACAAAGTAAAAGCAAGAGCGATCCTCACTGGGAAAGGTAGCAATCCTGTAAGTCTAATTTTTTCTTTTTTGTTTTTACCATTTCTTTGCTGCATCCCACTTGTTCATCGTTATCTGTTACCTACATGTTACAGGACCACTATAGTCACCCAGACCATTTCATCTCAATGAAGTGGTCTGGGTGCCAAGTCCCCCAGGTTTTAACCCTTCAGATGTAAACATAGCAGTTTTCGGGGTTAATCCAGCCTCTAGTGGCTGTCTTCCTGACAGCCGCTAGAGGCGCTTCCCCGACGCTCAATAAGAAAATCGCATTGAGCACGCAGAACATCCATAGGAAAGCATTGAAAAATGCTTTCCTACGGGCATTATTAATTCGCGCGGCTCTGGCCGTGCATGCTCATTCGACTCCACTCAGGAGCTGACGTCGGAGGGGTGAAAGGTCACCTGCGCTGAATAAAGGTAAGTGGCTGAAGGGGTTCTAACCTCTTTAGCCCAGCGGGTGGGGTGGACCTAAGGATTATATAGTGCCAGGAAAACGAGTTTGTTTTCCTGACACTATAGTGGTCCTTTAATCTTGCTAAAGCTTTTCTTCTGCTTGGTTTCTGTATCACACCCCTTTCGTGGTTCATATCATTTCTAGTAGTTTACAATAGTTTCATATTAGTTATATTAGTATTAACAGTAGAAATGTATCGAAAAGTGCTTTTTTCCCCCAATGTTTAACTTTAAATTCAATCTTAATATGCTAGGAAAAAAATAAACATATATAATAGCAATCTGTATTTTAAGAAACCATTCTGATTTATTACTCCATGATGTAATACATACATTAACATGTACACGCTTCTTTTCCTTATTTTATAAGTTAGGAGTTTTGTGCTGTAGCATCCTGGGTGCTGTCTGTGTGACTTCCATAAGTGCTTAAAGGGATACTATAGACATTAAAATAACTTTGTCTTAATGAGCAGCTTTGATATAGAGTTCCTGCCCCCACAGTCTCACTACTCAATTCTCTGCCATTTAGGAGTTAAATCACTTTTGTTTCTGTTTATGCCGCCCAAACCATACCTCCCGTGACTGTGACACACACAACATCTTTGGAAAAAAAAGTTTCATTTTCAAATAGACATTAGAAGTGTTTATCTCCTTCTCTGTTAATTGAACTTTAATCACACACAGGAGGCTAGCAGGAGATCAGAATCTCTATATTAAACAGACTGTGCAATAAAGGAAGTTTAAACATAAGACCTCTCTTTACAGGAAGTGTTTATGGAAGGCTGTGCAAGTCACATGCAGGGAGATGTGACTAGGGTTCATAAACAAAGGGATTTAAATCCTAAATGGCAGAGGATTGAGCAGTGAGACTGCAGGGACATGATCTATACACCTAAACTGCTTCATTAAGGTTAAATTGTTTTGGTGATTGTAGTGCCCCTTTCATCACTGAATGATGCTTTATGTGGTGTCTGCTCCGACCCCAATCATTGTCTGTGACATACGTTACTTTTCTTGTATAAAGAGTAGCATGACTTGCTGTCACTATCTAAGCAGACATTTAATCTTCTTGGCATTTACACAATTCCGGGCTTTCCATTAAGTAACAGCAACAAAGTGTGTTGTATCGAAAAGACAAAGTAGGTGTGTTTGCTGACGGATGTGCATTTCCTTTTAATCAAAGTGTGGAGATTCTTGATCACTGTTTACTGCCTATTTCTCTGGCGAAGGATAACCAGCGTCTCCCATTAAACTATTTGTGCTCAGTAGCGGTGTTTAAAAAGATTTAAGAAAAGAGCGTGACACCCAGCAAAAACCCAGCTTGTCCCAGTGAGTCAGGGATATTTAGGGGTATGGACGATAGAAATAATCTTTTTTATTACTTCCTTATTACTGATAAAGGAATATGATATTAAATGTATAAGTACTTGTGTGGATTAAATCTGTGCTTTAACTTGCAAAGTACCTCTCACATATTTAACATCTAGGTTTTACCTCTCAGATATTTAACAATCCCAGTTTCTAACTCCTGTCCGGCCATGCTGTTATTCCTTTGAATACCTAGGCTGTAACCGGCCTGTACCAGCTAACACACCGTGCATGCCAGCACCCCCATCCTATCCTGATTTATAAGGACAAAGACTGGGGGCCATGAATTGTCATCATTTATACATTTATTATTATTTGTATTATTAGGGTGTGCATGCATAATATTGTATTCTTTCATAGAACTATTATGATTTATATTGTGCTGATATCTTTTCCTTTTTCCCTTCCCATGTTTAACTTATTTAACTAGTTTAACAGGGTACTGTATGGCTGGCAAATAATTAGGGACGTCCTGACTAGTGGAGCCTTCGGGCTGATTCAACCAACATTCTGCTTATTGTCTTCCTCTATGTTTTAGTTTCTAACTTCTTGTCATTTTTACTGACAGTAATACTTTGTATCCGCCATTAAATGGTTTGGCGCTTTTCACTCAATGTTGCTATTTGTCTGACAAGGTTTCAAGTTTGCGTCACTAAAGGTACGGGGATTAAAGCATTAGAAACAGAGACCTCTGGTGACTGCTTTTGGGTAACACAGGAATGAACTAATGTTAGAAGTGTTCATGAATAACATTATTCCAGTGCCAGTTATTATTATTATTATTAATATTACCATTTATATAGCCAGCAGATTCTGTAGCGCTTTACAATATCAGTTGTACCATATTCATCTATAGTGGGTTAAGACATTTATTTATAAATAACTATTTAAGGGTTATTTGGTAAGAAAAATATGCCAATTGTAAGTGATGACATAAAAGTGATGTTTAAGAATAGTGACAGTTTCCACAGTGTTTCATTATTTTGTTTATTCTGATTATAGGGACTATTAAGACTGAAACTGATGTATCGTTTGTTAGAGTGTTTTACAGATGTCAAATATATGTAAATAATAAACATTTGGAGTTACTGCAACAGATCCTTGGCTTTCCCGGCTCTCACTAAACCAGGAAGTGGTTCAGCTAATCCTGTCGAGTGCATAATATGTAAAGCAGAGCTTGATGAGGACAGAGGTTTTTGTGGGAGTTGTAGTTGAGGTGTTAACATTCTACTAAAAAAAAGCTGACAAAGCACTTCTGTAAACCTGGACAACAGAGCTATAGGTGATTCCACAACACATAGCTCTGTTATAAAAAATGTTTACTATTTCAAATATTTATTATTAAAACAAAAAGTAAAGAAATTAAATATAGCCTCCCCCGTTCTCCTAGCATAACCAATTAATTATAACCTAACATACACAGTGCATCTAATGTGTGTGAGAGCCTGGAGTGTCTCTTTAATAATATAAATCCACCCTGTATAACTAACTGTAACCTAACCTACACAGTGCATCTAACGTGTGTGGGAGCCTGGAGTGTCCCTTTAATAATATAAACCCACCCAGTATAACTGTAACCTAACCTACACAGTGCATCTAACGTGTGTGGGAGCCTGGAATGTTCTTTTGATACAATCAAAAGAGTTAAAGTTAAGCTCAGGAGTGCAGGTAAATCTGTTTTCGTTATCTGTTAATAAATGTAGAGCAAACAGACAAAGTACAAGTACACTCAGTTTGTGAGTAAACTTGTTCACCCTGCATGATCAAACATGGTATGATGAGGCACAGCCCTTTTATGCAAATTTACAGAATTAATACAATCCATTTCACTTAGAAAGTTTATGGGTCAGCCAAATGAAACCTTACGTCAATAAAAAGTATAATTATGCCCTATAGAGTGTGTGAAAGGGACAGTCTAACTACCATAACTATTACTGCCTGTTCTGGTCCTAGCAGTCTATTGAGTCCATCCCCTGGTTCCGTGTTAAACAGTTTTTTGAGATACAAATTGTGTGGGTGCCTGCTGGCCAACTCCAAATTTACCGTATTGCTAATTCAGCAACTACACTTAGAAATGTCAATTCAAACAGCGTTGATTGGCTCAGAGTGTCAACTGAAACTTTTAGCCAATCAGTGTCGCTTACATTTGATCAAATTTGAAAGAAGAATAACATAATAACAAGATGGGGAGTAAAGGCCCAGGGAATGGGCTCCTTTCTCTATGTGGAACCCTCGAGACCCCCGGTTTGTAAGCAGTGAGACACAGAACTGGGGGATGGCACCAGTAGCTGGATAGCACCATAACCACTATAATGGGCAGCAGTGACCATGAAGGGTAGACTGTGCCTTTAACATTGTCTTAATGTGTTTGATTACAGTGTATCTTTATAAGTAATGTAGTTATTGTCTATTTATTTCCTAATTCCTTCCTTAAACCTTCAAAATTGTTGTTCATTGGCTACCAATTTATCATTTTTGGACTTTAGCTTCATGAATAATCCCCACAATCTGTACTGTTAAATAATTTATTAGTCCTGTCACTTTTCAGTTTTTCCATAAAGATACATTTGTGGGAAAAAAATGCTCTGTATATTTCATTGTAACTTCACAGAAATCTCATAACCTTCGAAAGACAAGACACAGAAGGTTAGTGTCAGTGGGCTATCTGTCTATTTCCACAGACCTGTTTTGTACCCTCACACACATGCAAAGGTGCAAAATGACATGGTTCCTGGCATCCTCATATGCCAGTAGCTGAAGAAGGAAGATGGTGATGTCCTGGAGGGAGAACTTGAGGTGGTTATATCTCATCTTCTACTACCAGAGAAGACTTTGCAAGTGATAGGTCTACTTTAGATAGAATTTGACGAGGGTGAGGAGACACTTGTTCCATAATAGTTTAAGGGTTTATGATGGTTTATAGATAATGATCCTTTATATATCATTAATGTAGATACTAGAGGAACATAGTGTTCACATATATCCCAGTACAACTCTTGAATTGGATTTTTATCCTTAACACATCTCTGCTTCGTTAAGTAGAGTTTGTTAATCAGTGAACTCCCTTTCATGACCTATTAGGCTCTATGAGTGTAGCCCATGGCAGTAACAAATAGACCCAGTGATGACCACAACCACTGCAGACTCTTTAGCCAGACACTGTACATAGAGTGTGTTATATATCAGTCATGTGATAATAGGTGGAAGAAGCTAAAACTTCAATAATAGCTGTCTGATTCAGTTTCTCAATGTGAGGGAAGAGAACGGAAACCTGTGCTCACACTGGCACAGACGTCTGTCACTGCTGCATTGTTGACATTGCTGCGTGCAGGTTGCAGTCACAGAGACTGCCCTGGACTGTAACATCATGTACTGTACTTAGTATTACTATAACCCATGGTATGGGGGCTAGACCATGCTGGACCATTCACAGAGTCTGCCCTGGACTGTAACATCATGTATTGTACTTAGTATTACTATAACCCATGGTGCTAGACCATGCTGGACCATTCACAGAGTCTGCCCTGGACTGTAACATCATGTATTGTACTTAGTATTACTATAACCCATGGTGCTAGACCATGCTGGACCATTCACAGGGTCTGCCCTGGACTGTAACGTCATGGTATGGGGGCTAGACCATGCTGGACCATTCACAGAGTCTGCCCTGGATTGTAACATCATGTATTGTACTTAGTATTACTATAACCCATGGTGCTAGACCATGCTGGACCATTCACAGAGTCTGCCCTGGACTGTAACATCATGTATTGTACTTAGTATTACTATAACCCATGGTGCTAGACCATGCTGGACCATTCACAGGGTCTGCCCTGGACTGTAACGTCATGGTATGGGGGCTAGACCATGCTGGACCATTCACAGAGTCTGCCCTGGACTGTAACATCATGTATTGTACTTAGTATTACTATAACCCATGGTGCTAGACCATGCTGGACCATTCACAGAGTCTGCCCTGGACTGTAACATCATGTATTGTACTTAGTATTACTATAACCCATGGTGCTAGACCATGCTGGACCATTCACAGGGTCTGCCCTGGACTGTAACGTCATGGTATGGGGGCTAGACCATGCTGGACCATTCACAGAGTCTGCCCTGGACTGTAACATCATGTATTGTACTTAGTATTACTATAACCCATGGTGCTAGACCATGCTGGACCATTCACAGAGTCTGCCCTGGACTGTAACATCATGTATTGTACTTAGTATTACTATAACCCATGGTGCTAGACCATGCTGGACCATTCACAGAGTCTGCCCTGGACTGTAACATCATGTATTGTACTTAGTATTACTATAACCCATGGTGCTAGACCATGCTGGACCATTCACAGGGTCTGCCCTGGACTGTAACATCATGTATTGTACTTAGCATTACTATAACCCCTGGTGCTAGACCATGCTGGACCATTCACAGGTTCTGCCCTGGACTGTAACATCATGTACTGTACTTGGCATTACTATAACCCATGGTGCTAGACCATGCTGGACCATTCACAGTCTGCCCTGGACTATAACATCATGTACTGTACTTAGTATTACTATAACCCATGGTGCTAGACCATGCTGGACCATTCACAGAGTCTGCCCTGGACTGTAACATCATGTGCTGTACTTGGCATTACTATAACCCCTGGTGCTAGACCATGCTGGACCATTCACAGAGTCTGCCCTGGACTGTAACATCATGTACTGTACTTAGCATTACTATAACCCATGGTATGGGGCTAGACCATGCTGGACCATTCAGAGTCTGCCCTGAACTGTACTTAGCATTACTATAACCCATGGTGCTAGACCATGCTGGACCATTCACAGAGTCTGCCCTGGACTGTAACATCATGTACTGTACTTAGCATTACTATAACCCATGGTATAAATGCTAGACCATGCTGGACCATTCACAGGGTCTGCCCTGGACTATAACATCATGTACTGTACTTAGTATTACTATAACCCATGGTATGAGTGCTAGACCATGCTGGACCATTAACAGAGTCTGCCCTGGACTGTAACATCATGTACTGTACTTAGCATTACTATAACCCCTGGTGCTAGACCGTGCTGGACCGTTCACAGAGTCTGCTCTGGACTGTAACATCATGTACTGTACTTAGCATTACTATAACCCATGGTATGAGTGCTAGACCATTCACAGTGTCTGCCCTGGACTGTAACATCATGTACTGTACTTAGCATTACTGTAACCCAGTGGTTTCCAAACTGTGTGACGGTCACACAGGGGCGACGCAAAATGTTTTCCCGGTGCTATGATTATACCGTGCCTTGCTCTCCCCTGCCGGCTTTGCAGGACCGGAGGGAAGATCAAAGATCTGCCTCACGAGCCCGCCAGCACTGTAGTGCTAGCAGCCGGCAAGGGAGGGAGAGAGGTCCTGGGGAGTCCTAGCCTGATGTTCTGCCTGGTTCTCCTCTCACGAGCTCGGAGCATTGCAATATCGCAAGAATGAACTCTAGCCTCAGGAACTGCTAAAGTTTACTCTCACCACATGGACAACCAGGGCTTCTCCTCTGGACCACTAGGGCTTAGTACTGTCCCCCCATCCCAGGCAAAGGTAAGAAGGGAGGGGGGATATGAACATTATATATATATATTTTTTTTTAATTCAAATTACCCTGTATATATATTTATCTGCCTCCCTACCCCCATACACACACTGTACCCCCATACACACACTATGCACCCCTCTCACACACTGCACCCCTCACACACTGCACCCCTCACACACACACACACACACACTTCACCCCACATACATTGCACCCCACTTACCTTGGGAGGGTACCACGGCACTCCTGGTACCATAACCACTACAGAGTGCCGTAGTGGTTATTTTACCTGCATTGTTTCTTTAAATAATCTACCAGTGGCCCTCCCAAGATTAAGTTCTGGATCTGCCCCTGACCGGGAAACATTTCTCCTGAACAGGGGCCCAGTATATGCCACAGCACTGTTCATATATACTACTTAGAAAGTTGTTTTGACTTGGGGCACCTTGGAAAAATATTAAACTGTTAAGGGAAACTTGAACCTAGTTTGGGAACCACTGCTGTAACTTATGGTACGAGTGCTAGACTGTGCTGGACCATTCACAGAGCTGGGATAGACGATTGTTTCACTATTTGGCCATAATGGAGGGCGGATGGCTATTTGAGTTGGCTCACTGTGTCCTCATGTCCTTTTACTATAGTAGTCTGAGTACAAAGCACTGAGTTATTCTTGCTATTGGAAATGAGTTTTGTGACTTGTTTTTTGTGTATTAGAACATCTACATACGCATTGTGAATTTGATTGTTAACAAATTGCCATTTTTTTATTTTGTTTTTTAAATGTATTTGTATCAATGAAGATGTTAATTTCCTCACCGCTAGCACGTAAAGCTGGATTTATGTTATTGGATTATTGTGAATAATTATTGGAGTTGTCCTTGAATGCCCTGTTCTCCCTATCCCTCCCTCGTATTAAGTATTTTCTGCTTGGAGAGCAGGACTGTTGTTTGTTATGTTGATTTTGTGCTGGAACATGTTTTATTAAAAAAAAATATATATCAAAAAAGGGGGAGGGGAGTGATTTATTTTCAGCAGAGTTTTAAAAGGACTACACGGAGAAGTAATTTTTCTATTCACTTTATTTTTATTTTGTGTAACTTGCCGTCCCATTAATACATATTCCTCTTTCCTTAAAAGGAACCTGTTGGCAAAAAAAACAACAAACAACTTTAGCTTTCTGAAGCAGTTTTGGTGTATAGATCATGCCTCTGCAGTATCACTGCTCACCCCTCTGCCATTTAGCAGATTGTTTATAAAGCCCTAGTCACACCTCCCTGCATGTGACTTGTACAGCCTTCCTAAACACTTCCTGTTAATGATAGACTATGATACAACAAAAATGCAAATGTATGTTAGCACTCAAGCCTGTAAATTTGTGCAGGTATCGAGGTTACCCACCTATAACAACCTCAACTAAAATATAGACTAAATAAAAATAGTGATACAGCACACCAAATTGGTTGCAGAAAAAAATCAAAAAGGTTTTTATTCATGCACTATACAAGGTAATTCATTAGTGCATCACTTCTACAATCAAAAAGAATTCATATTATGTACATCAATATTTACAATACACAAAAAAATCGAGTTCATATTATGAACAACAGTTATATAAGTAACCTGAATTCATAAACAGGGAAAAGAAATGTCCTTCTAGTATCTGTTAATCAGAAGAAAATATTTTTTTTTTAAATCCTGAATCCTGTCTGCATCAAGTATCACTGTTAAGTAGATATGCTGAGGTACGTCCTACCATAGTCCACACTGTTCTGTTCAATGTAAGATATAGCGTGTAGCACACTGGCAGTGCTAGAAAAACCATTTATTAAACAAAAACAAATAAACAAAAACAAAAAAAACAAGTCTCTGTATGTAACGTTCTCTGAGTACTCAAGAAATCAAATAAAAAAATTCAGGAACATATAAGAAAAAAAATACAAAAAAATAATAATAATCGTGGTTAGATCTCACCATGCAGTGATAGTGCAGAAAAGACTTGATCTTTAGCTACGGTCACCTTTCTGTTGACTCCTTAATATGTGAACTTTCTTGTCCTAGAATGGCTGATTGGGGTCGCAGTATCAATCATGCTGTGTCCTTTAATGTATTCAGGATCCAGTTCACTGGGGGGCTAGATAATGATACCTAGATATTATTTGTTCCTTTATTGCACAGTCTGTTTAATCTAGAATTTCTTATCTCATGCTCTGTTAATTCAGATTCACAAGGACAATGAAACACAGCTGGCCTCTGATCAGAAATACAGTAGCGATTGATAAAAAAATGACTCCCAGTGTAAGCTTTAGAAGTCCCTACGTAATAATATAGTACCTCCAGTACATAAGAAACACTATCCCTTTTTCATTAATAGAAAAAAAAGCTTTAACACCCTAAAATACATATAGACATTACACAATACAATTAAAATATAAGTACAAATTTAATACAAGTAAAAATATCTCTCATAAAAACCACCATATCAATAAAATGTTTATGTACTAGCCGTCAAGACTCTGCATGAGTCTGCTGTGTGTGATTTAATTTCAATACTGTATACAGAGGAAGAGATAAAATTTCCAAAGCAAGTTAACATCTGACTGAAAAATGTAACTTTTTTTTTTTTTTTTTTTTTTATGGAGGCTGTGTCAGTCACAGCCAGGGTAGGTGTGGCTAAGGCTGCATAAACCGAAACAGAAGTGATTTAACTCCTAAGTGGCAGAGAATTGAGCAGCAAAACTGCAGAGGCATGATCTATAAAGTAAAACTGCTCCAATAAGCTAACGTTGTTTTGATGCATATAATATCCTGTTAATATTGAAATGTGCCTAGGTTGCCAAGCAGATCCCCCAACAGAGAATTCATAAAACCACATAATTATGAAAAAATAACATATAAATATAAACTTAGAATGAAATTTTATAGATTATGTGATTTATTTATTTTTAATTTATTTTTATTATAAAAAAATTAAATATATAGAACCTAGGCTGAAAGTCCAGAGAATTTAATTTGCAAGTCCTGTATTACCTTGTAACTTTCCAAACCCCCGTAAAACCTGTACCTGGGGGTACTGTTGAGATATCGCTGAACACTAATATGAGCCTTTTAGAGCAGTAAAATGTATGTCAATAAAATCATCAGTGAAAGGGGCAGTTTTTGAAAAAAATTTGAAAACCAAATATGAACGCTAACTTGAGTTGTCTACTATTGCAAATGGTTTGCCGTGATGGGCGTAATTTTCATTCCTGGACTGCAATACAGTCTCAAACGCAATGTAGGCCCAGCAGTATTGCAGAAAAAAAAGAATTTTATGGCATTCACAGTTAAAATGCCAAGCAGAACTTAAAAAAATAAAATTTCTTAATTTCTTACACTTTTTTTTTAGATTTTATTCATACTAATTTGTTTCATATATACATTTGATGTGAAATTAAAGCCACGTTCCTCCTTAACAAAATTATATATAACAAGAGTGTGTGCACTTAATATGAAAAAGGTAAACTATGGTTGAACAGACATATTGCTCAAATTCTAGGTTATGTTTAGGTTCAGGTTTAGGTTCAGAACTTTTGCCTCTGCCCTTAAGTGGTTAATAAAATGATTATATAAATAAATATTCTGATGTGATTATGAAAGCATGTTCTTTGTTTGTCTTTTAGCCATTCGTTATACATGATATGGAAACATTGAGTATTGGAGAAAAGACTCTGGTCGCAAAGCTTGTTGCCAACGGGATACAGAATAAAGTAGCAGAAGTCCGAATTTTCCATTGCTGCCAGTACACATCTGTTGAAACTGTAACAGAACTTACGGAATTTGCCAAATCTATACCGGGCTTCACCGAATTGGACCTAAACGATCAGGTGACTTTGTTAAAATATGGTGTCTATGAGGCCATGTTTGCCATGCTAGCTTCGGTAATGAACAAAGACGGGATGCTGGTGGCTTATGGGAACGGTTTCATAACACGAGAGTTTTTGAAGAGTTTGAGGAAGCCGATCGGAGACATGATGGAACCTAAATTCGAATTTGCCATGAAGTTCAACGCCCTGGAGCTAGATGACAGCGATATTTCCCTATTTGTAGCTGCTCTTATCTGCTGTGGAGGTGAGGACCATGCTTCTCAAATGGCAATTTCCTATAAAACAACTTGAAAAACTGCATTTTATTTCGATTTGCTGTCATTTGCTTTTAGAACATGGAATCAGGAATTATTTTATCATCTCAATATTTAGCCTATATAACAAGTTAATGGTACTTGCAGTGTTTTTTAATTGAACCCAGCTTTGTGGATGAGTTAATGACTCTGCCATGGTTAAAAAGTTTAAATTCAGAGTAATTAATTTTTGCCCAAATTAGTTGAAGTGGGAACAGCTGTGTTTTAATTTCCGCTATTTTGGCCCGAAATTTTACATTTACTTTTAAAAGGACACTATAGGTTCCAAGATCACTTCATCTCATTGAAGTGGCAGTGTCCTTGTCCCTTTAACCCTGCCACCACAACCATTTCCAGCAGTTTATTTTTGTTCTTGCCATGAATAAATCCTGTTAGAAAAGTTCATCAGAGATCTACTTGAACTGGCTGTGTGCATATTTATATACTGTTATCCCCTTAAAATCATAATTGTTCTAATGTAAACAACTGAACACACTATGTAGTTTTAATTCATTAAAGCGGCACTGTCATGCCGAACTTACCTTTCCTCAATCTCTTCCTCTTCTCCCCCTCTCTCAGGATCTGTTATTCTTTTCTTCCTGTCTTCTTTAGTTTTCTTTAAAATCATAAGACAAAGTAGGGACTCTTTGCCTTATGGAGGATTCCTCCGCTTGACCAGCTCTGACCAGCGGAGGAGCAAACTGTGCTTCATTTCCGCTGATCAGAGCAATTTTCCCATAATTCTTACCTTTCCTCTGTGTTCCCAAGATGCTTCCTGTCATTTTACACGAAACTGCCGAATTGCGTTCTAACTGAATGAGAACAGTATGTTAGTTTGTTTTAGAACACCTGTGGCTGCACACTGTAAAGTAAAAAAAACTAAAAAACTATTGCCCCCCCCCCCCAGGCAGCGGGTGGGGGCCATAATGATAATGGAGGGATGGACCTACTGTCCTCCCCCCCGGCCTCCACCCCTGGGCGGTGGGTGGGGGCCATAATGATAATGGGGGGGGACCTACTGTCCTGACCCCCGGCCCCCACCCCTGGGCGGCGGGTGGGGGCAATGATGATAATGAGGGGGGCCTACTCTTCTCCCCCCCCCCCGACTCCCACTGGGCGGCGGGTGGGGGCCATAATGATAATGGGGGGAACCTACTGTCCTCCTCCCCCCCCGGCCCCCACCCCTGGGTGGCGGATGGGGCCAAATGATAATGAGGGGGGGGACACCTACTGTCCTCCCCCACCCCTGGGCGGCGGGTGGGGGCCATAAAGATAATGAGGGGGGGTACCTACTCCCCGCCACTTCATAAGCCCCCCAGGCTTGAAATCCATCCAATCACAGTGCTCTGTGTCATTTTACACAGCGTGGGAAAGTTCTTTTGATCATATTGACCCCCATAGAGTGAGGGAGGACCTGGGGGGCTTATGAAGTGGCGGGGAGCACTGCTCCCTGCCGCTTCTATCTTTACATATTACAAGGAGGGAGCTGCGTGCCGGTAGCTCCCTACTTGTAATAAACTGAACGAACAAATGAACACTGATACACAGTGTTAGTTTGTTCGTCTGATATTTCCATTCATTCATTCGTCTGTCTGATGAATGAATGAATAGATGAAATTCCCATTCGCATGTCCAGGTGATTCACTGGGCATGTGCGGGAATCTCACAGTCTATCTAGTGTGGGCAGATGACGTGTCCCACAGGGACTTCCTCTACCCACACAAAGATGGCGGCGGAATATAGATCGGGGGAGAAAATAAGGAATAAAAAAATAGGTGATGTGTGGGGCTTAGGGGCATTTGGGGGTGACTATGGGGTCAATTAGAGATAGTGGAGGCGGGAGGGGGGGTTAAAAAAAAAAAAACAGGATTCGGCATGACAGTGCCGCTTTAAGTCTCTGTGTTTTAAAGGGCGATTATGGAACAATTAGTGACATTGTTTAGATTAAAGTTATTTTACTCCCATTTTTTCCCATTCCACGCCAGTGTCGCTGCGGCTGACCCCTATTGGGTTCGCCTCCAATCTTGATCTCAGCCAAGGCTATTGCGCATGCGTGGCATAACATCACGCTGCGTCAATCAGTATCTCTTCATAGAGATGCACTGAATCAATGCAGTGCCCCTCAGAGCATGGAAACGCTAGTAGGTGTTGCACACTGCATGGCTTTGACACAGGAAGCACCTCCAGTGGCTGTCTGAGTGACTGCAACTAGAGGTGTTACTAGGCACCAATTCCTCTGAAAAGGCAGTGTTTATATTGAAAAGCCTACAGGGACAGGCTAAAGATACCAGAACCACTACAATAAGCTGTGGTGGTTCTAGTGACTATAGTGTCCCTTTAAGAACGTGTTATTTATTTATAGTTCTGAAAATGAAATGGAAGTGCATGTCGAATGCACTCGACTCTTCAAAAAATGAAATATTTGTCAAGCAGCTTTCAATTACTTCACTTTATGTTTCCATAAGTGAGTGAGTGGTTGTTAATTAAAATGAGGGATCGGTGCTTCAAGTCAAGTTGACAGGAGATTTTACTGGTTTGTCTAAAATCTGTGAATCAAGGGAGAACAGTGCTAGAGCTGGATATGTTTTTTGCTTTTTTAATGATAACCAATATCTTAAAAAATACTTCCTAATTAGATTAAATACAAGTTACTTGTAATTACTATTTTTTCTTTGTCTTATTTAAAGCACTGTTTCCCCCTCTCATTCTTCCCAGACCGTCCAGGACTGGTGAATGTAGCCAGCATCGAGCAAATACAGGAGAACTTGGTTCATGTCCTAAAGCTGCATCTGCAATTGAACCACCCGGACGAAAGCTTTCTGTTTCCCAAGCTCCTCCAGAAAATGGCAGACTTGCGTCAGTTGGTAACAGAACATGCTCTCATGGTACAGACGATCAAAAAGACTGAAACAGATGCAGCACTGCATCCCTTATTGCAAGAGATCTACAGGGATATGTACTAAGGACTTACAGATATCTAGATATATATATATTTTTTCACAGTTTTTTGCATTAGAGTTGGGCAAAGCGATCATTTAACACCCCTTCTCACCACACTTGTTCTGATAAACAGTAGTGCCTTTTGTCTATGCAAAAAAAAAAAGGAAAACAAAGATATACTTTGTTCTTTAAATCTCACACGGAGACGTCACACACTACAGGATCACGTTATTTTATTTGTGTATAGTTTCAATCTATTTTTTTTAAAGAGTAATAGCCGTGTGAAGCAATCGTCCTTTCCGTTGACCATATTTTGGAGGTAGTACTCAGGTCCATTATCAGCGTGTAATTGTTTTTGTTTCCAGGGATAGAAATTTAATAATTTTGGTAACCTCTGTCCATTTAACCCATTTTATTGTTTCACAAAAGTATCATGGCTGAGATCCAGCACAGACAAGAGGTCAAGCCCTACTCTCAATCCTGAGGGCCACCTCAGGTCACAAGGTGCTTTACAAAGAAGACTTGTAGAGGTCAAATAGAAGACTTGCAGGACCTCACATATTCTCTACAGGTCGACTAATTTGCCATGTTGGGAGTTGGAGAAGGATCAAATGGAACTGCTTTGCTGTTGCTGGGCAGTATTTAGTGTATACTCAAGCAGCTTTTCCAAGGAAAATGTTGATTAATGTTTCCTTATTCTCTTTCCCAACGTGGAAAAGAAATATTCAATTTCCTCAAACATCGGCCTTTCCCCATGTTAATCAAGAAGTAAGATGCCACACGTTGCTGTCAGTTAATCAAAGTGTGATGTACAATATTGGTGTTTGTCTAAGATGTTGAGTTTTGTAAGTACCTGGAAACTTTCAAAATAAGCTGAGCCTGAGATTTTTCAGAAGATTAACTTCCTAGTAACCCATTGCAAAGATTGATTGTAGCTCCTGCTAATAGTTGTTAAAGAAGAACTAATTACTTTGGTGGTAATGGCACATTTTAATAGTTATTGGGAAGTAATCCTGTGTATTTTGCTTGTATCCGATACAAAGTTCTTCTAACACAGCCTATCACCCTGACATGCTGCAGAGGTTAATATTAAGTTTTAAAATGAGATTTATGAAAACCCTAACTTTTTACTATTTAGAGATATATTACATTGTGAAATAATGAAAGGTTATAATGTAGCTGACTAAATTTAAATCAAAGTCTGTTAAAAAAAAAAAAAATGGCCGATGACATCTAGGATATTTTAGAACAAGACATGCTGGCTCTCTCGTACTAAGAAGTAGATTTAATTTTGCAAAGTCAGTTGAAATTTTAAAATGTTTGTAATATTTAATAATCTTTCAAAAATGTAGTTTTTCTTTTTCTATTTGTGTCGATTGTTCCTGCCCCAAGGTAAAGGAATGTAAGTAAACTAACATGTATGTTTAATATACATGTGCACACACACATTGCTTCAAAGGGCTGAAAAAAAACATGTCAACAAATTTTTATTGCAGTTTAAGGGGAAAAAATTATTTTAGCTGAATATCAACATTTATCTTTATTACAGCAAACATTGCGTACCAAACATTTTCCAAGCTAGAGTTACATTTGGCAAGCTGATCTAATGTTAAGTACATTGTGTTTACTTTTGAGAAAATATCAGCCCCCTTTGTGTATTTATATGAAACAGAACATTTGTTATATTACTACAATTTGACATATTTAGAGTATGCAATTTTAATCAAGGGTACTTTAAAAATACTTTTTTCTTTCTCTTGATTCATTAGATAATGTTGTGTTACTGTATAATCATTTCTTCATAGTAGAAGCTACATTACAACTGGCTAGTTTTCGTCATTATCATAACAGGACAGGTATCTAGTAACAAAAACCAGGCAGAAGATATACAACTCACAAACCAGCATGGGAATCGGTAAACATATATTACAGAATATAAAAGGACAAGAATCAGAGAAAGAAAATAGTGGCACATAGAAGCACTTTTAACAGAATCCTAAACATGTAGGTCGGCCGACCTGCCTTCCAAGTCTGCATCATAGGAGAAAGGAGATCTATATATAAAGCAGACTGTATAGCATAAAGTTTTCAAACTCACTTAAAGGACCACTCTAGGCACCCAGACCACTTCAGTGGTCTGGGTGCCAGGTCCAGCTAGGGTTAACCCATTTTTTCATAAACATAGCAGTTTCACAGTGAGAGCACACCAGCGTCCATAGGAAAGCATTATGAATGCCTTCCTATGTGACCGGCTGAATGCGCGCGCATTCAGCCGACGGGGAGGAGAAGAGGAGGATCGGAGGAGGAGAGCTCCCCGCCCAGTGCTGGAAAAAGGTACGTTTGCCCTTTCCAGAGCCGGGCGGGAGGGGGTCCCTGAGGGTGGGGGCACCCTCAGGGCACTATAGTGCCAGGAAAACGGGTATGTTTTCCTGGCACTATAGTGGTCCTTTAATTCATTCGTGTTGAAAACCTCAAATCTCACATTTATTTTTTTGTGCCTGAAAATAAAGGACACTTTATATGTTTTATATCTGCTGAAGACAACTGTGAGATGAAATGTTTAGGGTCAGTGTATCTGGTGGAGGAGCTTCAACAGAAGATCCTGTGTGACCCTTGCACCTGATACCCTGTTTAGATATGTAGTTGCCTCTTGTGCACCAAAATGTGCTTGGAGTGGAGCAAAAGTTTAATTTGCTCTGCCTGGTTTTTGTTGGTAGAACCCATACTAAAGATTGCAGCCTATTTTGGGATTCAGGAGGTACAGCCTTGAGCAAAGCAGGTGTAATCCCCAAACCTATCGCAGGTCCAAATGTTGGACAGTGGTCATCTTATAGGTTTGGGAGGTAATGGAACTGAAGTTGAAATTTTTAAGACTTTTATTGTTTTTAATTTTTTTTATTTAGACTTTGGCAAAAAATCACCAGAGATTGCTTGCGTAACATAAACAATATACTTGATGTTGATTTGAGATACTAAATATTGTGCAATGTCTCATGCTTCATTAACAGGAGGAGTTAATTTTCTAAAACTAAAATATTTTACAGTGGCTTAAATAGTTTAAATTTAGAATAGAATTTTTTATTTTTTTTAAAATGCACTACGTAAGTAAAAGCATTTTTGTTCTCAGGGATTTTTTTCTCTTGTTTTGTGAGTGTACTTCATAAAAGCATCTTTTATCTTTAAAATGTGTTATCTCTCTTTTATGTAATGTCTGCTGGCTACATTTTCTTTAAAGGTATGGATGGGATAGTTTTGTAAATTTATACTGTTTACATTAGCCTAAGCTAATGGTACAGTTTAGCACCGTCCCTATAAAAAAAAAAAAAAAAAAACTAGGCTGCTACAATCCAGTGTTTTTGCTTGACTGATGCTGTAGTTTGGTGCCATCTCCTTAAAGGACCACTCTAGTCACCCAGACCACTTCAGCTTAATGAAGTGGTCTGGGTGCCAGGTCCAGCTAGGGTTAACCCATTTTTTCATAAACATAGCAGTTTCAGAGAAACTGCTATGTTTATGAATGGGTTAAGCCTTCCCCTATTTCCTCTAGCGGCTGTCTCATTGACAGCCGCTAGAGGCGCTTGCGTGCTTCTCACTGTGATTTTCACAGTGAGAGCACGCCAGCGTCCATAGGAAAGCATTATGAATGCTTTCCTATGTGACCGGCTGAATGCGCCGCGCATTCAGCCGACGGAGGAGAGCTCTCCGCCCAGCGCTGGAAAAAGGTAAGTTTTAACCCCTTTCCCCTTCCAGAGCCAGGCGGGAGGGGGACCCTGAGGGTGGGGGCACCCTCAGGGCACTATAGTGCCAGGAAAACGAGTATGTTTTCCTGGCACTCTAGTGGTCCTTTAACAATGTAATCCTAGTTACATCTACTAGATGAGGCAGGTACAACTCAATGCATTTTGCCGATTGATACTATGGCTGGGTATTACTTTTACAGGAACAGTATAGTCCCCCCAAATAATTGTTAAAGGGTTTTTTTAAGTTACCAAGGCAGATAATTAAATGACCCCTTTACTCACCAGTAGCCCAGCACCAAGACAGCATCTTTTCTGCAGCCCAATTTTCCTCCACGCCATCATGCTCGACGACTATTTTGTCCAATCAGATGCTTCTCGTAGAGGATGCGTGGCAGGCACGCTCTCATGGCAGCCTGTATCGTACAATGTGTGAGGATGGTGAACGTCAAGAACGGATTTTGACTCTGTTCTTGCAACTCACACATCCAGCTCAAACAGCTTTATTAAATGTAAACCGTGTCAGGATTATTCATTCAAGTAAGGATCCAAAGCGAATGTCAAATCTAATGCCAAATAGCTGAACAGGAACTGGACTTCGAGAATGTTCCCAGTACGGTTATTTTTTAACCTTAAATTTTAAACTCACTTTGAATTCTCACGTTAGTAAATAATCCTGCGTGTGTTGCTTTGTAATCGAAAGAAATATGGCTGCCATTTTAACTTCTCTTCTAGTAAAGAAGTAACCGTTAAAACCAGCATTTAGTGTCCTTATTAAATAAGAGAATTATTGTACTAGATCACTTTTAGAAAACGCTAAAGCATGCTGTGACTCCGATTGGTTAGAGTGTATCTGGATACTGTGAGACGGAACTACAGTCATGGGGGAAGAGAAAGTACACCTTCTGAATTCTATGGTTTTACATTTCAGGACATGATAATCATCTGTTGATTAGCAGCTCTTAAAATTAGATGAACTTCAGAACTTAAATACAACCTCGGATGAACAATACATGACAGATGTAACTCGTGTGGGTTTTTTTTGTTGCTATTTCTCTGAGCGTTGTGCATCTAGTCTTAGGGTAAATTTGCTGGGACGTCCACTCTTGTGAAGATAGTCTTGAATGGTTTCCACTTTTGAATAATCTTTCTCACTCTAGAATGATGGACTTTACATTTTTGAAAATGGCCTTATGACCCTTCCCAGTGTGATGGGCAGCAACAATTGCTTCTCTAAGATCATTATTTTCCTCCTTGGCATTGTGTTAACACACACCTGAATGCTCCGGACCAACAAACTGCTAAATCGTCGGCTTTTATAGAGGTGGTTACACTTGCTGATGGTCAATTAAACAAGGGTATTTGATTAGCAGCACCTGTCTGCTACTTAGCCTTTTAATTCCCACTGGAGCAGTAAGAGTGTACTTCATGTTTCACACATGGCTTCTCCATTTTGGCTTTATTTTTATTAAATCATGATACTGTAATATGCCATGCATTGTTTTTTATCTGAGTATTTACCTAATTTTAAGACCTGCTAATGAAAAGATGGTTATTATTAATATGTCCTAATATGTAAAACCCTAGAATTCTAAGTGGGTGTACTTTCTTTTTCCCATGACTGTATATACGTGTAGACATTGGATCATTTGTTTACACAATAAATATGAGTATGGTGGTGTCTTTGCCAGAGGGCCAGCTGAATGAATACATGATGTGCACTCTTTGGCCTGGCTGAGGCTTGTTTTGCGTAGTGTACCTAGAATCTTGGGGGTTATCCACTAAACAGCAAGCTGTGTGCACAGAAATGGTTTGCAAAATGTAGGATAAAATAGCATTTGAGAGAACAATTCCAAATCTGCATTATTCTTTTTCTTTCTTTTTGGTTGTTGTTCCAGCTCTGCCCGTTTGTCTGAAATCTTTCAAAAAGGTTGTGAAATCACTAGAAGTTGCTGCTTAGGGAGTGGAATCCTATTTTTTGTATTTTAGCATCACTCAGTAGATAGGGCCATTGTCACACAATATGACACCGTAGACCAGCCCGCTGTCTGTATATATTGTGCACAGATAAGTGTTTGACAGATTTGACAGCTGCTATTCATGTAAAACACATTGTCGCCATTATAAAGGGAATCTCTTGTTTAAAGTCTCAATCGTAACATTTTCTCATAAACCCTGTTTTACAAATTGCAGTATGTATATTCTCTGTATTATTATATACCCCTAAATAAGCTAATATGATTACTTTACCCCTAGAATGATGTTCTTAATGTTGCTGCTTTGGCAGTTTTTACAAACCCACCCAGTCTCAGTGAATAAATTCCTGACAGGTTTGCTTTAACATAAGTGCAGTCAATATTTGGTTCAAATAACAGTAACATTGAATGTGCTGGGATATTCACAGATTCATCGTTTATAGATCATCATGTCAGATACAATAGCCTGTTACCCTCGTGTTCCCATAAATCTTTGCCGGCCACTCATTCTGTTCTTGGCTGGTACAGGTTACAGAGAGTTCTACTTTACTATTCCCTTACTCGGTCATTGTGAAGCAGGTGTATCAAAATCTGAATAGACTTTTTTCCAAATCGTCTGCTTTGGCCTATAATTTGCAATGCCCTTTTTATCGCTCCACAGGCCGTTGTTTATTAAATTATTGGGGCCCTTCCCTTGTTAAATATGTTGCGTCCTTAATGCATTAAACTGGAGAAAGGTTTTATTAGAAATCTTTCCTACATGATGAGGAGGCTGAGGGGCTGTTGAATATCATAATTCTTTAGATTATCCTTACTGGAGAGATCTTTATTTAGTGCATCTGGGGATTTAAGGTTTAAAATGATAAATTAATATATACTAACCTACTGAATAATTACCAATGGTAGCAAAATATCTAACATTTTAATGTGTATTGAATTAGAAAGCTCTCTAACTCTCCCATGTGAGTGGAACAGATAACCTAGGAGCGAGTTTGAACTCTTAGGGTTAATTACAAACTTATGCTTTCCTTAAACAAAAAATACAGGCTTAACCCAAACCGACCACGCACTAGTCAACAGTATATTGCCCTCTCCAATCAAGGACACAATGTAGCAAGGGACATGTTCTCATATAGGAGAGAATCGTTGAGAAATCAAAGTGAATTTTAAATTTAAGGTCAAAGCCAGATTGGGAGAATTTTCCCAGTTTGAAATTCCCAACAATTCTCACTCTAGTCCAGGGATAGGCAACCTTCGGCACTCCAGATGTTGTGGACTACATCACCCATAATACTGACAAAGAATCATGGGAGGTGTAGTCCAAAACATCTGGAGTGCCGAAGGTTGCCAATGCCTGCTCTAGTCAGTAACCCTGATAGTGTCAGCTGTGAAGCCACTTGTAGGCTGAAAAAAATGAATTCTTTGTACATTACAGTTTGTACGCCCATGGATTTGGAACTGGTGCTTTTGTAGCAAACTCAGTCATTGTAAACATTCGGAACCTGAAACAGCATTGTCTTTCTAACGCCTTGGTTCTACAATGTCTATTGGCTAGATCAAGTTTGGGTGGGATTTAAATTCTCCTAATACTGTTTAGTACTCAATGTATGGTTTTAATAATTAATACTTTTATTAGTCTTGTGTACTAAGATGTCAATTGCCACATAATGGTATTACTTTGTGCCCTTGCCCCCTTGCCATTTGTTGTGTCTAGATACATACATGTGTAATAATATAATTGTTGCCAGGTTTTTATTATGTTTCTGATGTGGTGGGAACGGTATGGGACAGATTTGTATTTCTATATAGTGCTGGTCTTTCTATTAGAGAAAATCTGAGTTACTTTCCTTAAATACTGCAAGACATGACAATGTTTGCACGGCAGTATGTGGGCATTATAGTGTAATTCTAATATAAGAATAGAGTGCATATCAAAATATAATATTTTAGAGAGCAAAAAAAACTGACATCCTAACTAAATTATACATAACGAAGATTATCTTGCCATACAAGCTTGGACAGTTTCTCCAACATGTAGGGCATTTTGTAACATTCTAACAATATAGATATAAGTTTCCATATATTGATAGATCGTACATTAGTCTAAATAAATGCTTCGTTGCTCTGTAGGAAGCAATATCCTTCTGTACATGTTATTACCTTGTGTGTATTGCAGCAACGTCCTGCTTGTCCTCGGGTGTAACACGTAACACTTGATTGAAGTTTAAAATGAATTTAGAAAGTGTAATTTCATATTATATACATATATAAATTGTTTAACCGTCCATTTAAATAATTTAAACCTGATGTTTGCAAATATCATAAAATCAGGATTATTGGGATATTGAAATGACCACTGCCAATCTACTTGTAGAAAAAAAAAAAAAAGTAGTTTCTTTGTTTAAGATTGACTTACTCAGGGATGTTAATTAGAAGGTTTTAATAGTACGTGTGCACCAGCAGTAGTCAATATGTTTGGTCGCTGGGCAATCTATATATTTTAGATGGTAATGAAGTTAACTACCAAAAAATGTATATCTCCAAATGTTTCTTTCAAGGAATGGAAACTGTTACACACATGTTTTCTAAAGTCTATTTATCTGAGACCCTTGTCTTTCAGCTATTATTTCCCTTTGAGAGGGAAGTTTTGCACTAAACAAAATTGATATAGATATAATTATTTGTTAGAAGTGTGATAATATATTCATATTTGACTGAGATACCCACGTTTGAAGTCCTACATACACAGGTTTAGAGGAGATTTAGGGTTTTAATTCTGCAAATTTAGAAGCATGGCACATCTAAGTGCTGAACTATCCGTTTTGTTTGACTCTCTAATGTAACTACGAGGTACTGTTTTGCCTTAACATTTTCAAATAAAATCTATTTTAAAACGAATGTGCAAATTTTTTATTTATTTATTTGTTAACAAGAGATACTTATTACTGCATTAATAAAGTATGCATACATATGAAAATAAACTCTAGAAATAGAGACTGTTTATTCACTGAAGAGTGAATTATACTTAACTAATTAAAAAAAAACTAAAATAAATTCCTAGACTTTTCACTCTTTCAGGTAGGTTGACAGATACCCCACAGGTGAGTCGAGCAAGGAATTTCTTAATTTGTAGCTCTCGATTGCCCTCTATAGCCACAGGAGCAGCACAGTCACTCTGGAAGGAATCAAAGTATTAAAATCGTTCACCCAGATGGTGTAGTGGCCCTCTACTACAACTAGCTTAATGTCCATCTCAAGGGCTCCAATGAATGTAAAACCTAGTTTAATTTTAAGTGGTATTGCAAACCCACCAGATTTTATTTTTGATTTAACTTGGTTTAACCATCTTTGTGTCATGCTGCATGATAGATATTTATTTACAGAAACTTCAATATTTCAGCTCAGGCTGGTCGTAGCTCCTTATACCAATAACTGATCTCTAGAGCACATTATAAAGTTCATGTACATATATAAACATTTTGCAAATTTCTGTACCTTAGAACTCTAAAGTCCTAATGTAATGCTCAGGGTTGCAGAAAGCTCAACTTTTAGCATCAAGCACCATAACTACTATAGCATGGAGTAATTATAGTGCCAGGAGTTCCTTGGCAGTGCAAGGCCTAGCTCATTGGCTGAGAGTGATCAGATGTCACTCTCAGCCACTGAGCTTGTCCTGCACTACAGCGCTAAGCTCAGGAGAGCTAACAGAAGCTCCTGCTAAGGAGCTTCCAGCTCTCCAACGGCACTAGTGGGCAGGGCTGGACCGGGATACCGGGAAATTTCCCGGTGGGCCGCGGCACCTGGGGGGCTGGAGAGAGAGAGGGAGCCCTGCTCTCTATATTTTAATAATATTGCGGCCGCTGGCCGCATGTCGGTGCCGCCGGACCCTGTGAGGTGATTACTCACCTTGCGGCCGGTGGCCCCATCTCCTGTGCTGTACTGCTGTCAGTATCAGTGAGTGTGCTAAGCGATCCGGTGATGAACTCACTGATACTGACAGCAGCATAGCTTTCAGCACAGGAGGACAGAGGAAGGGGGCGGAGCTAACTACCATGCGGTTCCCATAATTCCCAGCAACTACACATCATACAGTAATCACTACTCTATGATGTGTCCATGCTGGGAATTATGGGAACCGCGAGGGAGCACGGTAGTTAGCTCCGCCCCCTCCCTCAGTCCTCCTGTAACAAGGTCAGCAGGCACACAGGAAAATAGGGGAAGGGGAAGGGGGGCGGACAAAAAGGAAGGGGGGATACAAAAAGAGGGGAAGCGGGGACAATAGGAGGAGAAGGGGGGACAAATAGAGGGGTAATAGAAACACAGGGGAAGGGGACACAGAGACTGAGGGGTAATAGACACCAGGTTGGGGGTGGCAAAGAGACAGAAGGGTAATAGAGAGACATAGGGCGGGGGACACATAGACAGATGGGGTAATAGAGAGACAGGGAATGGGTGGACAAAGAGAGGGGTAATAGAGAGACACCATGGAAGGGGGGGACAAAGAGACAGAGGTGTAATAGAGAGACATAGGGCACGGGGGGACACATAGACAGATGGGGTAATAGAGAGACAGGGGATGGGTGGACAAAGAGAGGGGTAATAGAGAGACACCATGGAAGGGAGGGACAAAGAGACAGAGGTGTAATAGAGAGACATAGGGCACGGGGGACACATAGACAGATGGGGTAATAGAGAGACAGGGGATGGGTGGACAAAGAGAGGGGTAATAGAGAGACACCATGGAAGGGGGACAAAGAGACAGAGGTGTAATAGAGAGACAGGGGATGGGGGGACAAAGAGAGGGGTAATAGAGAGACACCAAGGAAGGGGGGGACAAAGAGACAGAGGGGTAATAGAGAGGCATAGGGGTTGGGGGGACAAAGAGAGGGGTAAGAGAGAGACACAGGAGAAGGGGGGACACCGAGACGGAGTAATAGAGAGACACCAGGGAAGAGGGGACAAAGAGACAGAGGGGTAATAGTGGTACACAGGGGATGGTGGTACAAAGAGACATAGGGGTAAGAGAGAGAGACAGGGAGGAGATGGGGAAGAGAGACACAGGGAGGAGAGGAGGAAGAGAGACACAGGGAGGAGATGGGGAAGAGAGACACAGGGAGGAGAGGAGGAAGAGAGACACAGGGAGGAGAGGAGGAAGAGAGACACAGGGAGGAGATGGGAAGAGAGATACATGGAGGAGAGGGGAGAAAGAGACACACAGAAGGTTTGTTGGGGGGACAAAGAGACATACAGTAGGGAAGGGGAACAAAGTGACAAGATTTGTGGGAGGCAACGCTGGGCTGGGGAAAAAGAGACCGAGAGTGACTGGGAGAAGAGAAAGAGCCACACAGAGTCTGGAGTTAGAAAGAGACACACAGATGAGATTTGGAAGGGGAGAAAGAGACAACGTGGCTAGGGGTAAGAACAACACAAAAGGGGCTAGGGGAAAGAAATACAGAGGCTGGAGAAGGGTAAAAAAGAAACACACAGGGACTGGGATGAAGTAAAAGATGCACAAGGGTTGCTGTAAGAGAAAAAAAAGGAGACAATTGGAGACAAGATACACTAAACGAGGTAAAGGTAATAGACATAAATTGATGTGATCCTGACAGTAATACACATATATATATATATATGTATATATATATATGCATGTAATGAGCACGTATTGGCCCTGTCTTGTTGCTAGTTGCATACTCATGCACAATAACATATTCAAAGTGAAGAGCGCACCCATAGAACTTCAAAATAAACAAGATTACTTCATTTTTTTTTAGTTGTGCAACTGCAGACATTCACCATTTTAGTACCATTACTAAAATGTCCTTAATAGGCCAAAGTAGTTGTACTGAAACATTGATTACATGCAAATGTACGTCTTCTTAAAATAAAGGCGCTCTTTTGTTTATTTTGAAGCCCTATATGCGTTCTTTCGTGGAGTAATAGTTTTCAATTTCAAGTTAATTTTTCACCCTCTATACCAGCACACTATGCTGGCGCAATGCATTATTGGGCTGGTATAGAATTTTTTTCCAGTGCTGCTTTTAGTTCCCAGTCCGGCCCTGCTAGTGGGAGTGGCACCCGAAGGACTTACAGTTTCACTGTAGTGGTTATGGTGATTGGCATCAAGGCTCAAAATCTTCACTCTCCACTAGAAACTGACAAATGAAAATTCAGCCCTGGCAAACAGAAATTCACATCTGATGAGTATGACATTAATTGTCTCGTCAAGTACATTTTTTGCTTGGCTAGTAGTGTTGGACATTTGAAGCCCTGCTTGAAGTGTTCCTTTACCGGTTGGCATGAATATGCTTACTAAAGTCACGGCTAAAGGTCTAAATCTATATGTTTTGAGAAGCCAATGCAGCCAGAATAGGTTAGTTTCATACCCATTTGTCAAAAGGCTGGCAGCATGCAACGTTAAGTTGATATGATTTGGTATGCCCAATCCAAACACATCCCCACAACCTTAAATGTGTTTGATTACCTACCATGCCTTACATTACCAGGACAAGAAGAAATTAATTTAAGGTTGTGGCTTATACTAATGTTTTTTGACTCTGAAAAACAGCCTCACCTACTGAACTACATCAATACTCTCTGGGTATAAACTCATCTTAGATAAAATGCTACAGGTTTATATATTCTATTGCTTTTGTTGTGGACAAAAATATTAACCCAATTTATGTTAGTAAAATGCGTACAATCAGCAGTATTCAACATTATACATGATTTACCTAAAATGGCCGCTAGGGAGTTTCTCCTTGTCATCGACTAACACCCTCATTAACAAGATGGCGCTGGAATCTGGGGAAGACCTCCATGATGCCAGTGACATCACACCCGGTAGGAAAAGCAATAGATGAACCACTTAACACCTAACCAATTACTGATGTATTATTCTCTGTTATCTCTGACAATGCATATAATGTAATTTTGCTTTATAAGGGACATGCCATCCCCCTGGAATAAACTCTTCCTCAAGTTTTTCATTAACCCGAAACCTGTGTCTGGTGTGAATTACTTCAGGAGTGTGCACGCATACTTTGGATGGCCAGAAAACGGGACTGGAGCGGACCCCAGGAAAGTGGGACAACCGGAGCCTGATCACCTCCTAAATACAGTAGTTTGCCTGTATTCTCCTGTTTTGTGTCGGTCTGCCTTTGTGTCCACTTCCGGCTTCCAGAAGGCTACAAGACAGGTAACTTGTTATCCGGTGCCTTTTTAAAACAAACCTGTCGAACGTCTATCTGCCTCCTGAGTGTGTGTATGAATGTGAGACAGCTGTTGTGTGGTTTGTGTCTGTTCAGAGTAGAACAGGGTTTATTTACTGTTTAGTTATTACTATGCTCGTTGTTATATTGTTCTTTATTATATTGTGGTCTCTACAGTTAGTTGTAGTCATAGTGTGGGTACCCTGGTTTTGTGTGTGTGTGTGTTGTGTGGCTCATCCTTGATTCCGGATTATGTGCACATCTTTACATCTGTGACTCTTGTAAATGTCTTTTGATTAGTCTCTCCACGTTCACCCTCTCCTTTATTCTCTACCTCTTCTGTACCTTTTGCCCAGAGCTGTGTTAGACACCCACACTCGCCCGCTCAGATCCGTGACCACCACCTCGGGTGGGCGGATCCCGTGACTGGTTTACATTTAGGGAAGACGCACGAAGATTAATTCCTCGTGGCAGTCGAGCACTGTAGACATTCCTTATTTTTCCTCTCACTCTGTCCCTCTTACGTGGGAAGCTTTGTTTGGTAAAAATGGGACAAGAACATGCCAGACCTTCCAAAGGCTATTTAGCTTGTGACATTGTTAAGGAGAGAGCAGGAGAAGTGGCTATGTTAAAAATAAAGAAGATAGCAAAGATTTGTGGCTTTCAAATGTTCCCAAGTGGTAGATTGCAACCAGAATTTTGGAGGAAACTGCTGATTGACA